AAACCCTGTATGGTCTCCCCTTGTTAGCTTATAGAAATGTACGATTTTCCGTAACCAGAAAATGTACGGTTAATAGTTTGGAGACTCCGAATGCAAGTGTAATGGGAGGTCGGATTCTAAAGAATTCGGTAACCGGAAAATTTTCTCAAACTTGAGTCATGCTCTATCTCTTAATATAAAATTGAAAAACTAATTTTCTTCCAAATGAGCAAAAGAAGGAATATTTTTATGCATGTCTTGTATGAAATGCATTTACATTTATAAGGGCATCGAAATTCAATGGGAAAAATTTGCACTATTCAAGTAGTCGTTTTTTGCAGAAGCTAATCTTTTTGGGCGGTCAGAAAGAGGTTCGTTAGAAAGCCGGCATCCTGAAGTAAATGACTTGTTATAGAATTATGCTGCACGGTGATTAGTACTACAACCCTACTCGAGTAATGTTTTCGAGTCGAAAACGCATTTTAGGATTTTGGCTAACATTTCAAGAGTTATCGAATCTACTGTACACAGCAGCTAATGGATTTTGCAGGTATTAACTCACACGCACACCTTTATACCTACCGAATAAATTCCCTTAAGACAAGTGAAGGACGTCTGTGATAATGGAATGCAAAATCATGTAAGCCGAGGTCGTCACGTGACATGCTAGTAAGAAATGTCAAAAATTGTTAAATTAAAGATTTCCTTGTGATTTATAAGGACATAATATTGAGGGTAAGAACTTACGCTTTTCAGAATTAAAGAAATCAAATCATAGACTTTGGACAAGTAGTCTACCTTGTCAGTGGGCTGCTTAGGTAACCTAACAAGTATACCATGCAGGTCGAGGTTGGGGAAGATCATCATCGTATATTCGTAAATGTCTGGTTTTCTTATTCAGATGCCATATGCGGCAGCAATTTCGTCTTCAGTTTCCTTCGACTGACACATTGTACCGCTACTACCAGTGTGCCTCCAAATGCTTCCCAAATAATTTTCCTTTTAACTATTTAATCAGTACGGAAAGCAGGCTAAGGGTGGGTATTATCCTGTTTTCCAAATAAACATACTACGCCATCTCGGCTAATCCGCACTCTGCGTTAGATATGCCCCCAATAAAGCATATAAAATACTACGCTTGTAGTGGACAGCCATAATGGCAACGACGCGCCCCTCGCTAGCGCCTGCACCTACACCCCAGCGACAGCCTGTATTGGCACACACGTCTGCCCGGCTTCGATTAGTCTCGTTATAATTAACTGTCTGCACGATGCATCCGGTCGATTCTCTGCCTGCATCATGCGAGGCTTGTCACTACCCTCGCGTAGGTTCAGAGCCAATCAACGCAACTCCACTCGCTGATTGGTAACACAGATGGGAACTATCCAGAACACTAGCGTAAACAATCTGCCACGACACTTTTGCATCGGCGATCTTCGGCGACACACGGCTCGTCGCTATTGCGGACCCCGAATCCGCGGCACCGTACGCATCATCGTCCGGTTGCCAACTTCCCTTCACTATTCTGTACAGAATAAATAAAATATTCTCTCCAACTGGCGTCCTGCTCCTAGCAACTTGGGATATGGCGTGAAGTTGTGGCGCACCGAGCGTACACCATCACCACTTAGCCGCTTCACATTCTTTTCCTAGCTGTTCAGTCACACCACAGTTAGCGAAGTTGCCTTCCGTTGCTCGGTCTCGTGTCATGGAGGTCGTGGACGTAGGATGAAGGGCAAGGAAGCGTCCTTTGACCAAATCCACTACCAATCATCCAATACCTAACCGTCATAGCCCTTCCGAGAGATGCGATGAAGACTCAGCCCTAACCATCCTTTCCACGGTGCTAATGACATACGCCCTCACGCCCGCCGATTGGTCAGTCCGGAGGCCAGTATGGTTGACGTTTATACCCCACCAGTAGTGTGACGGCATGATATTATAGGTAATTTTCTGTCTTCCCATAGGCTGCTTTATCGATGTCGAGGCCATTAATAAGTGGATTTTGATGTAGTAAATCACAAACGGCCGAAGGGTAATTTTTAAATATCGCGTATTGTGTCAAGCGAGTTTTCGATCGCTTTAGAAACCCCACCCATCCGACCATTCCCACCACCATCCCAGGAAGACAGGTTGACGGGGAAATAAGTTACATTAATTGTTACAACATTGATTCCCGTCCATTTTTCAACAAGAAGGTGAAAGCTCTTTTTTGCCTACCGCTATATTCACTGGCAACCAGGTGAAGAAGTAAGTCGAGACGTTTGCATTCTTGAGAGGAAACATCGGAGATATTACCATCGGACAATTTTCCCAGGATTGAGAGCATAGCGCCAAACTTCAGCATAAAATCGTTGGAATTGCAAATGGGTGACGAATGACACTTAAAGTTTTCTGACCTGGATTTGATTGAGCCTTGCATAGGTACAGAGGCTGAAAGCCTTCGCCGACCTGTGACTCTAGCCGTCATCTTATTTCGAGGTAAGTTCCGATCAATTAAGACTTCTGGCAGATCTGATGGTCGAATTTCAGCGAGAGGTTAACTGTGAGAAGAAAGGGTACACGGTTAGAGAGAGCTCCAATGCAGAAAGTGCAAATTGCAAAATGCGACTAGTAGTCTACAGGCGCAGTCTAGCACAATTCAAAAGGGAAAAGGCAACCGATAATTCCAAAAGAATAGGCCCGTATTTAGCGAAATCTAATTAAGAAAATACAAGTCAAAATTAATTCTGTCTCCTAAAAAGACCACATAAAATAATGCCGTCCACTTATCTTCAAAACCAGCGGATCGACCCTGACCTTGATTTTTGCAGTTCCTGATGTCCTCTTCCCATTTCGACCCCAAGCGGTTTGTATCCGACCACAACGGAATTCTCCGTATTCCCCATCTACTAGTAGTGTGGTCGGTCAGCATAGAGATCACATGGCTGTATCTGCATGTATGCTGTGATTATCGCCTTTGTCCTTAATGCCCATAGAAGCGGACTGTGACCGGTCGCGTCTGGATTCCTCCAGTCTCGTCACTTTGACGCGAATAGCCTCATCCGATTGAGGAATTCTGCCCTGACGATATTTGTTTCGAATCCTTTATACACCAGCACATGCGGACCAGTCCTATTAGAACCGCACACTTACCTCCTCATGAGCTGCAGCTTTTTCTGCCATGACGATGACTGTTTAGGATCTGTTACACACTACTACATGATGGTCAGTCCTGCCTGACTCGCGTACTTATATTTTCATTCGCGATAGTGTTTCTTTCCTTAATAGTTCATCCAGTCGTATTAACTTTGTCTATTCAAAAGGCTTTTTTCACTGCTCGCTAAGCATTTTACTTTTCAGACTGCTTATTCTGTAAGCATGAACGGAATACTGTAGAGATTCTGTCTATCTATTGTAAAGTTCATGAGAAAATTCATTTTTACTTGCCGCCGTAGAACACCCAAGGGTCCTAGACAAGAACAATCTATTTATTTATCTGGCGTCGACATACAGAACACTCAGCAGTTACTTCGAGGCCTGTGTTGATAACACTTGGTTGGGTACTGCCCTTAAAGTAGCCGAGTGTGCCATTATCGCTAATATTTCCGACCATCGACTCCTTTGCATGTGTAAAAGCTCAAATAAATAAAGATGTGGCCCCATCTCTCCTCTAGCTTTCTTTTTCCTTATTCAATCCGTCTCATCTTGTTACATATGTAGTCAGCTTAATGCCACCTTCAGTTTAACTATCATACCAAATGCCTTAAGAAACTCACATAAACCCCCTCCTGAAAATGGCTCTAGGCGGTTGATATAAAACTATGCCGTCAGCCTCATTAGCGAAGTTATTTATTCATGGGGAGGCGTTCCCTTGAGTCCGTAAGACAATTCTTATACGATCTCTACAAGCGTGGGCACTGCTTCCCGAACACTCTGACTGCGCGGAAAGAATCAGTTTGGCAATTTGAAATCGTCTTCCTTAACGTCAGAAAACTTTAAACACGTTTAAACATCAGAGGTTTATGCAATGTGCCCAGTTTATAGGCATCACTCACTCATCAAAGACCTACACGTGCACGAGACTGTAAAACTAATGAAGGCTGTAAGAAAGTGGCAACTTGCGGAGAAAATCTCAGTTCAAAATTAAAATTGTGTCTGGAAATACGCTCAGGGGTTATGAATTATCCACAAGCCAAGTTTACCACAGAATTTGAATATAATATCAAACGAAAAACTGGAGTTCAGGATGTAAATGAAAAAGAGGCTTTTACCGTTAGACGCTTTAAAACCTCACAATCTAAATTTTTGCGGCCGGAAAACAACTTTCATGCGTTGGAAACCGAAATGCCGTTCTTAAACGTAGTTCCTGAATTGCAAACTAGACGCAGAATACACTGAAAATTTCAGTCCATAGTAGATAGTTCAGTCGCATCAGTATATCATAAAGCGTCTCGGGTAACGCGACTCAGATAACCTTTAAACTCCCATGGCAGCTCATAAGACTGGTTATATAGACGCAAATATATTCTTCAGATGTCACTACGAGGCAAATTGTTAAGTCCCAATAGAACTGCATGTGGACGCAGGACCTGTGCAGGTTGGAACTACATACGGTCTTGTAAACCGAAGCAGTAGGCAAAACAGGGTGACCGATACCGAAGTCACATCATCGGTTTAAATAAATCTGTTGCTCCTCTTATGTGGAATGCGTGGCCAGGAAATGTCTTTTTTCAGTCTCTATCGCTCATCAGTCCAACTATCAGATTCCACAAAGCCTTCAGCTTTCTTGTCTACGGTTGACGACCTAAAAACCACTAAAAAATTGTTGTTCGCATGGCCTAAACATAGCCCGTTAACTCACGAATCTGGTGTCTTTCGCCATGGGACATTTATTCCTGGCCTTAACTTGACCTGCGTCACCTTGTCATTTATAACGGCGCCCTACTCAATTAGATGCATCTGGGCCCAAATGAGTACATCGCTGCGTTCGGATGATGCATACAAAAATTGCTGAAAAACGTTCTGAACATTCTCCTGAAATGTTTAGCAATTTCGCATGCATAATAAAGGGTGAGACTTTTTAAAGTTCTTTTTATTCATTGACCAGTGGCGAATGTGACAGTTTTTAAAATTTTTTTAAGTATGTCATTGACAGAATTAATCTTTTTCCCTCATACTTTAATGTTCAAATTTTAGATATTACAAATAACTATTGAAAGGCAGGTAGCATATTTACGAAACACTTAGGATCGAAGAGAAATGCTGTTTTTATCACAGTGCTGGTCATAATTACCAGGCTAGCACCGGCCTCGCTTAGCGCATCCTTGTCCCACAGGATTGGAATGGGCAATAGCGAATATTGAGGTACCAGCATGAGGGGATGTGGTACAACGCGAACGGATGTGACCCCTCTCCAACCATCTCACCAGTAAAATGCGTGTGAGGGCGCTGTCTTTTACGTAATTTTGACTCCCTTTTTATTGTCACCGGAAGCGTAATTGCCGCAAACCGTGGACTATCGGCATCTCCTAAACGTAGGAAATCGACTTTTCACACTTCCTACCGAGGGAAGCTTAGCCTGATTGATTACACAAGCGATTGCTCGTCCACGCGATCCCCACCCCCTCTACATAAGACATTTGATAGGAAATAGTGGGGAAAGATGTCTTATTTAGAAATCGCAAAATGCTAAATGCACAGAAAAAATCTCAAGTGTTGTATGCACAGGCATGTGGTGCGGGGTCATTGTTTGTTATAGGCACCCATTTCGGCTGGTACGACAGGTTTCTCTAAACAAATGAAATTGTGGGCCGTACGTAACGTCGTTAGGTTTAAAATATAATGTGTAGATAATTGTATCAAAAGTTAAGAAAAAAATTTCATATTACTTCAGTTGTCAAATTTTGTTGGAAATTATCAGTAAAATTCGACAACTCAAATATTATGGAACTTTCTCCTTGGAATGAATATATTCATTCCAACCCCGCATCTAATAAAGTAATAATAGTATGCGTAACTTCAGCTGCGTCGGACATGTAAATGGTACCTTCCTAAGCGTAATTACCGCGCTGCCGAACGGAGACTAAGCTAGGCAAACCGCTGTGGTAGTGGTACATTGTAGTAGCTGAATTTTTAAAATCAATGAAGGCAATTGTTTCTCCTCCTGGAGTTTGGATCTGCCGCCATGCCTCTCCTTGGCTCCGTGGGATCAATCAATAGCGTTTTTGCGAACTGCCTGTGCAGGGCAATTACTAAGTCTGGGGCTTAGTCTAATATCATCTGTACGTGTCAACAACAAAAATTTGACATGACAGTGGGAACTGCATGGATGGGGTAACCAACTAACGACCTGTTTTCTGTGGATCCTCCCCAGCGGAAGCTGAGGCATAGGCAGGACCGAATTGAGTAGCCATTTTGCTATAGCGTATTGACGATAATATCTAATTGTATATTATTGTCATTTTAATCATTATACCTATGCGTCTATGAGAGAACGATCAACAAAACATAAATGGGGTATTAACTAGATTGCTTCTTTGGACAGTAGGAGAATGGCTTACAATGACATTGTCATCGTCCAAAGTTGTACTTTTTATTTTTTATGACTTCTACTTGTTCTTAGATATTTTGAAAAGTAAATTTTATTTTTAGACCGATTCTACTTTGCCGCTGCTCACAGTCTTCCACCATCGTCAATCAGTGTTTGCATCTTTAGCATAGACGACGAAATCATTTATGAAAAGTAAGGCAAGCGATTGGAGCGCATATAAATTTAGTTTTTATGCTGATTTCGGACCTTTCAACCTCGCCCAATTATGCCGATATTGCAGAAGGCTTAACAGAAAACTAAAGGTTTTATTTTTTATTATTGATTTGACGCCATGCCTAGTCAGCGACATTGAGCAAAATGAAAGTTGTGCACGTCTGCTCATATGACATCCGAAAACGAACTAATGCTGCGTTCCTTGTTGGCTGCTACCAGGTAAGTTTGCGCAGTCTGTCAACTATTTGTTCGATTCGACAGGTAATTTACTTGAAACGGTCAGCAGAAGAAGCTTATCAATGCTTATTAACAGGAAATATACCGTCTTTCACTCCATACCGGTAAGTTTGTTGTGAAGAATTCAAAGCCATTTAAAAACGTTTTAATATTCCTATCGATACAGCTGTGTGATGAGCTGTTTATGAACATCACCCACGCTTGTTTTCCCTCTACCTCCCTTTTCTTCTGGAAATCTGCTCGGGTCTGACAAAATTAAGACATCCGCGTCCCATTTTCAAATAATTATAAAAGGTTAATTAAGGCATTCTCTCTGTTATAGTAAATTTAGTTCCATTATTGTCGTTCTCTGCTAGCTCCATGACGCAGGAAATAAAATAACTCCGAAAAGCTTTGTTTCGTTTAAGTAATTTTTGATATTTAGAATTGATTTCTATGCGAATACGCTCAGTCAGGCTTTTTGCCTCATGAGCAAGAACTTAGAACATAATAATCGCTCATTCGACTGACACTAACGTTTTCTGTTAAGAAGTCTACGTTTGTCTAAAATACGGTGCAATAAACCCGGAAAGATGTTATTAAAATTTCTCATAAAATTAGTTGGACATTTCGACGTTTTTGCGGTCCTAAATGTTTTTACCTTAGTATTGAATTATCCTTCTGAAAATCTCCGTCTTGAATACCCACTAGACGATTTTGTCACAACGTAAGAATAGGTAAGTGCGAATTATCAAGCATTCCTCAAGACCGAGTTTGGAAGCGAATGAACGTGGCAGTGTCGATCGGTGAAAAAATGAAGGATCATTGCAACGACAAGAAACCTATCATTAGCTGTAAAAACAGATAGTGAGAATATCCTATAGGAAGAAGCACTGCCAGCTTCATTAGCATTAGCAGTAAGAAACCACTTCTGATAAAACTTCAACAAGGGAGTACTCTAATCATCCAAGAACACAATTTGGGAAGGTGGTTAGACCCATGAACCCTATCGTATAACAGTCGAGGAATAAAAATATCCAAAAGAGACCGAAGTTTTATCCACTTTAGCTGATTTTGAAAATAAAACTATTCAGGTCATAAAACTGGAGCGAGAGAGATGTCTCGGAAAATTGGCGTTCTCCTTGTAGTCGATTGCGACCAAGGACTTTTAAACAGTCATGTGTAGAGCTTAAGCCACTTCGGGCTTCATACGGGTGTAAAAATACACTGATGAGCGTCCGTGAAACTTGCGACTTACGTTCATATGGGGAACTTTCGTCAGACCTTTCTGATTTTAACGTGTCCTAAAATACGAGTCGCGCATTATTAATTCAGACCTTAGCAGGCACATTTAGCTAACAAACACATCAAATGCAAACACTAGCATCTGTGAATATATATAGCCTCGAATACAAATCGAATTACCGCATTTCGGTCCTTAGCTCTCCCAAGTAATTAAGTCTGTATAAGCAATAAAATCAAACGCTCCCAGTTTTTTTTCAGAATCACGTCCCCGGCGAGTTGTGGTGTGTTGACGCTTGGCTTTCCTCTTGTTACCTACACTGCATCGTTAGATTTATTAAGACAAAGAGGTCGAAGTATAATTCAAAAGATAATACAATCAACTTGGGCAGATACACCGCCCGCGGAATACGGATTAATGTTCTTATTTACTATAGAGCTTGTGCCGACGGAATGCTGTTTCCGGTTGCACCGTGGAGATTCGCAGGACCTAACTCATACGACCAAACGATCTAGGGTAAATACTAGTCGTTTCTAAGTGAGTCTTCTTGAAAAATGATGGACGTTCCGGATTTTGCATCGCGGACTTATCGAGATCCCATCTTTAGCTTTAAGTGAATATGCCATTCCTAACAGTGTGCGATTTCAATTTGACGCTATGGACAGTGGGAGTGTGTTAAGTCCAGGTCTGTCCAGGCGGACCAGTAAAAATTCTCTCCTCCAAATGATGCTTTTGCTGCAAATACGGTACTTATTTCCTGACATAAAATATTAAGTTCAGTTATTATGTTTTCGCGAGGTCGCGCGGAAGAATAAAAGCCGGCGTTAATAGGTTTTCTTGAACATTTTCAATTTTATCGCTGAATTTCCTACTTCGTGTCGTATATTGCCCAATAATTCCGATTTCGTTCTCATAAGCAGTACATTCAAAATACCAACAACTAGTTACTATGAAAGACGACGTCCGGCGGACTTAATTTAGACATATTTATGCCATTTTGACTCAACTGTGAAAAACGGCGCAATGGACTATACATATACATTGATTACCAAAGTATGGGAAAAGATGGTTTTTTATCACTAGGATTGCATTACATTCTGCTGAAAACCCCGCACAGCTTCGGTCTTTAAAAAGGCATGACTGGCACGCTGTTTGCCAGTTGTATAGCTGTAGTTTATGCCGGCATGCGACATTTTTGCCTGAAACCTTTTATAGTGCTAGCTGGAACACTGGTTCTCATTGATTCAGACTGGTTATATTCTTCACTAGTTTGTAGGTTATTGTGCTTATTGGGTTTTTATTCGCCCTAGGACCTAATACAAAATTTGGATTATTTGTGTCATATTTAACCAATGTTGGGCCTTTTAATGAATGGTACAAAGGCAGTTGAATCATACGTTTTGGATCATTGCTTTCTGGTTGAAACTTGGATCCCACTTATAGAAAATTATATGCTCCAAAATTCAATGCAATCCCTCCCATTTTCACTAAATTCAATAAGAAGAGGCTGTTACAAGACTGTTATCCTTCAGTTAACTTCAAGCCGAGGAAACGATCAATGTAATTAGTTTATGAAATTATAGTCTCCATACCTCAATCAAAGTTAACCGTTAAGGATGTAAGGACAGGTACATCACTGTAACACTTAACTCAATATGTTATGATCTACAGAAGGCATAACTAAAAGCACACTGCACAACTACAGCCTTCAGTTTACCGAGTTTAATGGACAGTCTCCTCTGCAATATATGCCTACTAGTCGATGGAAATTTGTGATTCGCCCATAAGTGTGATACACCGCGTCATGCATCTCAGTGTTTTTGAAATTCCACTTACCGTCCGTTGCCATAACATCAGTCTATTTATCTACGGGAAAATTAACCAAGTGGCGTTTTCCAGCTTTTGGGAACTGTAGTTAAGAAGAAAACTGAACATACTTTGGCATCTTTAAGGCAACTTACTTTTAAGTCTAGTTAAAACTTACCCCCCCCCTCCTGAATTTTTGCTCACAACACGGTCAAAATTATAAGAACAGTAGTGGAACTACTTTATAGCCGGTTTTAGCGAGACCATGAGGAAGCACAGTCACCGACTATTATTGAATCGTGTCGGCAAAATATGCGTCCAAACTGAACGGTAGTAGTATGACACGGGGTTAAATAAAACAAAATCTTTTGGCATTCAGACAGTAACCGTTCACCTACTCGATGAATACCCTGAAAACGCATTATGCTGAAGGGAGTGTCTGGCCTCCGATCTAATGCTTTGACCACGCATAGGCTTCCGTAAGTAGTATAATCACTGGAAACTATAAATATAGACGTGTCAGAGGGAATTTTACTGCTTGCGTTGCCGGCGCCATTCCGGCTGATGGTGGGAGTTCGTCGACCAACTGCTTGCTTCGTTTGATCCTGCGACACCAGTTCTGGGTTTGCGTCGCAGGTCTACAGTACCTACGTAAGTCGAGACTGGCTAATCGAAGCGAAGGTGTTAGAAGTTAACAGCCAAGCCTTCCTTGATTTCGACAGTATGGCTGTTTTCTGATCGTTTCCTTCGCCCACTCAATCAGACAGAATGCTTGAAAGTCAAAGCCTTGAGACTGCACCATTACGCTTTTTTTCGTCAATTAGGATCAAATTAAACTAATTCAGCTGCAATCGTGCTGGATAACTGATGCGTTTACCAAATACGACAGCATCTGCATACCGGCCATTAGGACGGTCATTTTTTCGACTCATCGATTAGGTGGCGGACGTTGTTCTCTGGAAACTATCTGGCCTTTGCAACATGTCACATTCTTCTTATTATGTAAGAGGGACTGATCTGCTTCAAATTCAGGGCCAGCCGCTGATATTATACCTTGTATGTGGCTTAGAAGTATCTGCGTTTTTGCGTCAAACGGTAGATAAGCTTACCTAGCAATCCTTCAACATTGTAGCTTATGGCTGAGTATGTGCTTACTCAGCTGAAGCACTTTCAATATTACGTCAGGGCACAAGGACACATTTTCTGATTCACGTGGTTGACTGGCAGATGTCTACGTTTTATGCTTTTCCCTGTCTATACATAGACAGCATCAGCTGTACTGTCTCGTCTGACCAAGCCACCGCATCTGTTAGGAGAATAATGCGCTCTTGGAGATGGGTCATTGAGGTCGATGGACGCTTTCGTCTTGCAGTTTACAGGTTTTGAGTGCCAGCAAAAGTTCACATTCATGCTGGATGGAAACGCAGGCAGACATTGTGTCAGATCGAAAATAACGACATTCTTTTAAAGTTCCACTATGTCTTTGTCGGTACTCTCCTTCTGTGAGGGCTTTAGATTGAGTCCCAAGGCACGACGTGGCGAACATTTCCAGTAACCCGGTCGGTGGACTCAATTTCAACATAGTTAAGATAATTACCGTATTAGAACTCTAGCCCTCATTTTCGCAGACCAGACCTCAGGTTAATTCTGAAGGCTAAAAACGAGGGACCCTCACTGTGGTATTTTTATTTTGGGTACGGATTTTCGTGCGATATATGCGGCTGTTCACTATACAGGAATGGCGGAGATCGCCTCGCAGTCATCACTATAAGGGATGGAGGAGGAAGGGTCGCATCAGTGTGCGGCAGTTTCCTTTCACGGGGTCTCTTGACCCATGTGATTCGTTACCTGGGCCATGCGGGGAGACGACTGCTGGTTTGGCTGTTCAAGGGCGTAGCCGTCGCCCGCGGTCCCCGTTACTCAGTAGTTCTGGAGGTATGGTTTCCGCAGTAACTTTTGTTCAGGGCCAAACTCTGCCTTCCCCTTTTAGTAATTAAGCAATATACGCAGCGAAAGCGATGTAGGGGATAGCGGCTAAGACATTGGAAAGGTTGTAACTCGGCGGATTTAGTTCGCCTCATCGTTATCAAGAATGTATGAGCATGAAAGGTGGAAATATTTTGTGCCAGGCGGAAAGTGAGGAGTTACAAAAATTTCCATAGAAGGAGTCAAAAGACCCTTTGGCTAGCATACGTGTGCTTTCGATAAGTTTTGGTCGGGCCACTGCATTAATATGTAAACGAAGCGCGTAAGTGATAAGAAAAGTCGCTTACAGCTTGTCCTTTCATGAAACGTGGGTGTAGGAATTGGGGGTGAGGTGATAAGACAGTGAGTTTGGAGGCAGCGGGAATTAGGGGAGAAGAGGGGAGCGCGCGGAAAAGTGCACACAACCAACCTAACTTTGGCCACGGTGGCCGTGGAGTTTACAGCAGGTCCTTCTGCGCACACAAGACCGACTCCCGTGACCTGATGGAAGTCTCCTCTGGTCTTTTTAGCAGACATTGACTCAATGGCTTAGGGTAGTTGGGTGGGACCTTGTAGATCACATGGAATGCCTCGTTGACGTCCACACGACGTCCGGATTCAACGATGTGTGCGACAATGGCGTTGTCTTTGCTCTTCGCCTTTTTCAACCATACCAGGAGTTGTGCCCGTGCTCTTCTATATAGGCGTCTGCTCGTGTGACCTATATGACCAGTTCTACAGGAGCAAGTAAACGAATAAATGCACATGGAAGTGGTCTGAGCTGGCAAATTATTCTTACCTTATCTGTGTAAAACAGGGTTAACTGAAAATAATACCAAAACTCCTGCTGCTGCGCAGGTTCGTGGAACAGTTTGGTCAGGGCTTCTTAGGAGTTCACTCGCTGCGTTCCCTTGAAAAGGGACTTTGAGGAGCAGATTCAACTTTTCCGCCGCCAGTATAATAAGATCTGTTGGTCTCTCGATAATATTTTTTGCAATACATCTGCCAGGATACCCGTTCTCGCGAGACAGCTCCTAAATATTTATAAATTCCTGGTCCATGCTGTCTGCTGAGCAGACTTTTCCAGCCCTTTGAGCTAAACAACCGACTAGATTGCGTTTCTGTTGAAAGGATACGAAACAGCAGAAGTTCTTATATTGTCCAGACCAACTTTTCTTCCGAAAGACGCCCCTTCGAACGATACTGTCAGCTGTTTCGCTTAGAAGGACGTCTAAGAGAGGGAGCGGACCTGCCGTTTCCGCCTTCAAAGTAAATTTGGTCGACAGATGTACCTGGTTCATAGCACCAAAGAGGGTAGCTATGTTGGTTTCTGCACTGACGACTACGAAGGTGTCATCAGCGTAGCGACCGTAATGTCTTAGCCGATCGTTTGGATGAAGTTTCTCCAGCATGCCCACGTGGACACCGGCTAAGAGAGGACCACAAGGCGAGACCATAGCTACATCCTCTGTTTGTCTATGTGGTCGGTTGTCAAAAAGGAATTACACATTTGATGCGTGCCTTAACAATAGTTCCTTAAGTGCGTTCCTCAGTATTCATTTTTCTTGCTGATTGGCCGATGGGTATTCGCAGACGTAATCAACCATCTCTGTGACCGGGACGTTTGTTAAGAGCGATGAGATGTCAAGAGAAAACATCACCATTCCGTTTAGGTTCAGGTCCTCAGCGTCGTCAATACATCCGGAGATATCTCTCTGCATGAAGTTCTTTTCGGCAACCGGTCACTTTTGCCTCTACTTCATCCATGCAGTCCTTTTCCTTGTGTTCTTTCCTAAATTTCTTCTGGTCTCATAATATGGACTGAATCTTAGTTACGTAGTCCGATCTGTTCATTATAATGACGCCTGTTCGTTTATCCGGACTAGTCACAAAAAGATCTTTGTTCTCTCAAAACTGTTTTTACTTCTTCATGTGTGCTTTTGTCAGCAGTCCCCGACTTTTTGGGTCCATGTTTAGGCACTGCTAACTACAATTCACCAGTGTTGATTGCAAATGTCGGTCACTGTCTGTGGGAACGAGTTTTAGATCGTAGATTTTGTTCGAGAGATTCTCGGACTGATTTTCTAACTGTAAGTAGTTAACTCTCCGATGAAACACCCAGAGCTTAGGACAAAGGGATAATGCTTCAAACGACGTTTTATCGAGTGTTATGTAAGGATGGTTGTGCCCGTACCGATCTGGATATTTTGGAAACCTTGATTATGGCTTCATTTCGTCACCCTTTTTGTTATACTGCAGCTGTTCTCGTCTGCTCAAACTAAGCCTCTAAAGATAATCCAGAAGGAGCTCCGCTCATCCATTTGTCATGTTGACAGCCTGCTGGTCCCGCTGACACCGCGCTTATCGCGAGTTTGTGGTCGACAGACTTCTGCAACTCCTTATTGTCGAGACATATGTTCTGCAACCTCATCCACGCACAGGTTGATACTTCTCACAAAACAAATTTTATATCAAAGTGTAGTCGAGTGGGGATTATTACGCCTCAATGATAATAAGGAGGATAGTTCGACCGTCGTGGCCGACCATGTCCACCGTGTGCCCCACATCAGGCCGAGAGCAGCTACGTTGACTTAGCGCGAATTAATTTGAAGCAATAGCGCAGCACCTGCCACACCCTCCTGCTCCCTCCAACTGGATTCGGTGCCAGGACAGAATCAAGAAGACTAGAGGCGGGAGAGGGCGCAGGTTGAGGACACGGTGAAAACCCGCACCTAGGCGTACCACCACACCCCCTGGTCACAACATGCACTGACTAGGATTTTAAGCAACAGGGGAAAAGGGGGCAATACGGATCCTAAGTGGCACGGCGTGAGCCTGCTCCTTGGCGTGTCATCACACTCCAGCATTGACATTTCTTATGGGTGCGTGTTCCGATAACGTCTACCGGACTCAAATCTGGCCCCTGTGTTGATCCAGCGCATCTACCGCGTGGCCTATTTGAGGAGCAAAGACGCACACTCAGTCACAGTCACAAGAGCGTTTCTTATTCATACTCGAAACTTTCATCTGTCTTTGATTTTGGGTTTTAATTCGGATCCGAGGCGTCAGAGGATAAAGCTTTAGTTTCATCGATAGAGTAAGTTTCAACTGACGAAGATGATTTTGTAAATGGCAGGCGCATCTTTTGAAGTAAACTTGAATAATCGTAAACTGTAATGACGGTAGAACGCATGAACATACTTCTCCCCTAGTTATGCCAAGTTATTTTAGAGCACTGGCCCAGTGCTGAGGTTGTTTTAATACACATTCTACTCGTCTTTTTAATCACATGGACACTTCATCTGCTTACTTTTCGCCGACTTTGAGACTGCATGCACGATAACTTTATGTCGCCTTCAATGCATTCTTAATCAAAAGATAGGCAGTTCTACAGACCAGTCGAGTTTTTGCTAACAGACTGTAAGACATCAGCGGACCTATGATTGTCATGACGGATGTTGCCTACTCAAATCCCCTCGCGACAGATGATTTGCGACTGGTAAAACTATTGATTTACTTTTGTATGCTAACCATAATTTGATCGACTGCCGGGTCAAGCGTGCCTAAACTTATTTCTGTCAGAGTAAGGTGATTCCATACCAACAGCATAGGTAATAGCCAAAAACCCATACACGCGTGTTTCGACGATATTCTTCCGCTGCATGACAGCCGCGAGGGCTTCGGCTCGTCACTGGTTCCCCCAGCATTCCCTGTCTGCTTTCTGGTAGATACTCCAATTTAGAAATAGTAACTTTTTAATATCCCCAGAAGATAACTGCGAACTTAGAGTAGATCAGTATATTTAAGATCTATAGGTTTAGACATAAGTTTTTATGTATGAATATTTGGGCCAAAGTTCATTGGCCACAGCGGATAACCGCGTTATATTCATTAACTGCCGACAGGCTGCTAGTAGTGTACTTTAGGGTAAGGTGATTCCATACTAACAGCGCAGGTACTAGCCAGCCTATTTTCGGCAGTTCTCTCTGCTGGGAACCGAAAATGTGCTCGAATCGACTCACAAAGCAGAATTCCGCCACAGGTGGCTGGGAGCTACATATGCACTGCAAGTGCAACTGACCACGGATAATTGAGACTTGTGCGGGCAAGTGAAGCAGCCAATACGCGACACAAGCAAAACGATTTTGGCAAGTGTCGCACTTGCGCGCATACGCATGGCTCTGTTTGTGCAAGCTGCCTGTGTTCCCTACGTGCAATTAGCATCCACCAGGCGTTGGGTTGTTATGACAACTATGGGGCAATTCTTCCAGACACAGAAATAATCTGTATTTTCACACGCACCTAGGTCTATGAGCAATTGCACCCGTGACGCCTGTGAGTAGCACATTTCCTGCCTCTCGCGAAAAAGGTCATCGTAATCTCTGGGTCAACCTAATCGCATCTTCTTATTTCAAAGGGTGGGGATTATCAGAGAATATTTTCGTATGTGAGAGAGGTGTTCGCTTTTAAGCAAATACTTCAAACTACAGCAGGAGTACGCGTCGTGTGTCAATCTTCAGTTTGCCTACCGTCCAAGATTTTGGGCCAAAAATTCCGTATCTAATGGCATTATTGACAACAAATATTCCTACTTCTATGCAGGGAGTGTGTGGTACTGATCGCGTTACGGGATATGCTCGTCCCTTTGGTCTTTGTGACTCCATCTAGAGCTTCACGAGGCTTCTTTTAGGCCGTTGCTCTTATCAGCGTACGCATTCAAAGAGATGGCTGGTTGTTGAGTTTGAATAAAGGACTGGCATGCACTGTTAAAGGAACCTAGAGGCATCCACCACTAGTTCGTTGATAATTGATTTTTTAAATAAATATCTCTTGAAAAAAACTTTGCTGCTGTTTAGGTACTTTTTTTTACCAACTTTCCAGGAAGGTAGAAAACATAATAGAGACAAACGCACTTTCTGAGTAATTTTTCAGTCGGTTTAGTATGGTTTTGACCACCAAAATTCGTACCTCATAAAAACGAACTCTTTGTCCAGCGCACTGATTGACAATACACGTCAAACCCATCTGGAGGCAATGTCAACCAGATGGGGTAGTTGACCCAGCAATCTCTGCTTTACTCATCTCTTATTATCCTGCAATTATTATCTTCGTTCACTCAACTGCCAATCTTGGAATCTTTTTTAGAAGACATACTTTTTAACACTGAGAAATAAAATTTAGTTTACTTCGCGCCATGTCCCAAAGTCACTTGAGCGGTTTTGTTGCACACCAGGAGGCCTGGTTGTTACACTGTAATACGGGGTAGCGTTCCTTAAAAATAGTCATACAAATGCGCCCTTTATTTTATGAAGAAAACATATTCAGGCTTAAATGGGGCTGCTTTAGTTGCGACAATTGGTACACGGACCTGGACTACGTGGCCGGCCTTTACGCGGTTCTCCTCATATAAATACACGTTTTTGTCTTATATGCTGCTTCATTAAAGGATCTAATCTAAGTAGGGCAGATTATCACAAACATCTACCGTTCTGAGCAGGCCCAGAATGACACTAGTTCCCTCTTTGAAAACCAAAATCCTTGGACTTTTTGTAAAACATTTCTTGTTTCATGTTTGTCTCACTATCAATCGCTGTTACTACAGCCCCCTACTTTTAGACCGGCCAAGATGATAGCCTCTCCTCATGGGGGGTAGGTGGGCCTCTAGAGCAAGCAACATTATCGCTGGAGAAGTTCACATGCGAAGCAGCGTCCCAATTTTCCGTCTACAGAAGACGTGTGCAAAACTGTGATTAATTACTTAATTAAGATAAATGGTCGACTTTTTGGTATATTTTTATACAGAGAGTAAAAAGCTAAGGTCCTCTTGCATGCACATATCGTCCACCCACGGCTAAGCTTCAAATTCGAATTGAAATCTCGTCTATCATTAGGCTGGGTTGATGGGTTATGGCTGGCTGGCTGGCTGGCCAAGAGGAGCAATAGCGTTTCTCCCTTTGTTAATACTTTCTTTCAAACGAGTCATTTTTACTGTCGTTTGTACTGATTATAAACTCATTCAGCCAACCATTGCAGCCAACTAAGGTAACCAAGCAACTGTAAGGCTGAGCAGAAAAAAACACTTAGAGTTCTTCACATAAATGCACGCATATCATAGACTTACGTATCACGGTACTCTGGGGAACCTAATACTCGTTTTAGATTGTCCTTCATTAGCGCGTCTTTTCCAAGAAGAATAGACAAGACATCATGACTGAAGCTACAACGGGGTGAAACACCTAACTGTGTGCACTAAGACGGTTTTATCACTCAACTTGACGTAACCATATCATACTCGAAGCGTGCGACTATGAACAACATCTCATCCACTCCGGGTACAGAGCCAAGTATGCCTAGTCTTATTGGAGAAAAATCCTGGGCTAGATCGCAGTTGGTAGCCAGAAATGGGGAAGCAGACGGTGACCTTAACCCTACCCTAACTCTAACCTCAACCGTAAACGTTGACCGTTAACTTTAACGGCAACCCTAGCCCTAACTGGAATCGTAAATGTAACCGTAGCCCTTAGACATAGCCGTAATTGAAAAACCTAACCATAATACTGAAACCTAATCGTACGCACAAACCCTAACCGTAACCCTAGAAACCTAAGCCTAAATGCATAACCCTAACCCGAAAATCGGAAACCCTTAACCACTACCCTAATCCTAACTTCAAACGTAAATCGGAAGTCAAAGGAGTCAGATGTGATTATGGAACCCGACAAAATAGCCCTAGTAAACAAACCTCCTAGCCAACTGTTATAGGGGGCCTGGCTACCAACTGCGATCTAGCCAAATCCTGCTGGAAGGCGAGTTTCAGCCAGTTCCCGTGTTTATACTTCGGCGCGGCTGTTCTCCTGCTTTTCAAGCCCAATGAGCCATTCTGGAGCAAGTAATTCCAAATCAGGGAGGGGTCGTCTGCCGGACGGGCTAACTGTCCGTTGAAGGACCTGGAGAAGACCAATTGAAGGAAGGAGGCTATAGTTGCTCAATGTCTGCATTCTCCGCTTTGAAGCGGCAGGGAATATTTGCGATTTATCTCTAGGCTGACTGGCACTTACCAGTGATGGGAATGGCTGGATGGTTACGCCACGTTTCACCTCTACCGTTACTCGACCACGCATACGATGCTACTTGTTTCATGTTCAAACAAGCGCCTTAAATGCATAACAAATGTCGTTGTGAAAGTGTTTCGATTCATGAGGAATTAGTTCTGGGCACCTTATTGAGGCATATCGCTTTATAGTAGTCTGCCGGAGATCGAACAAAGCTGTTGATCAGAATGTATAAACTGTTTATGTTATTTCATTTTCGAATGTTCATCTTTGTTTCCATCAACCTCTTCATGTCAGGGACAGTACAAAATTTATTTCTCCTGACGGCTTGTATTACTTCTATTCAGTCAAATAGGTAGTTATGGGTGGAACGTATGTTGTTGCTCCTCTCTGGAACATTTAACTTGTTGGCACTACCTACCGTCTTCACTTTCAACTCCTGACAGTTTGCATTCATTATTTGCTCTTGACTGTGCTCTCAGACCCAATTCATCAGCTGAAAGTGAAGAAACACCAGTATTTTTTAGATCTCATGAGTGGCAAAATTGCAACCGCGCAGTTTCCCGCCTCTGACCTAAAAGGTAAAATCCCCTACCCCAGTGAAGCACAGAAGCATATAACAATTAATAATTGGCTACTTCAGAGGATTGTCTGCTGTTATTGAATGAATAAAGCATGGGCAATAAGTGTATAAAGGATTTCCCGATTTTGCATAGAGGACGGTTTCAACTCGCCTTGCCAAAGTCCGGATTCATCAACAAAATGAAATAATTCGAACACTTGGATCCGGAAACACGTCTTTAAAGGAAGGTGCGTACTCGAAAAAGGGCAGTAAGGATTAGCGGATTTATTTCAGCTACAGCTACAGTATATTACACACCAAGCCAGGTGTTGCAATCACCACCGTCAAAACTACTGTAGAAGATCGTTTGTTTATCGAATTATATGTCTACCACCACTGTCCCAGAATGGCCGATCGTAGTGCATGAGAATATCGACCCTGCCTTAAATTCCAGGGTGCACGGTTAGGATTAAGAGCGTTACATCTAGGGCCATGGGGTTAGAGTTAAGGTCAAGGCTAGGACCTGGGAAAAGATACTCCTGGAATTTAGCAAAAGTATGGTCCATATCCCCGTGTCCGACACGGCCGAGGTGGTGACCTCTGCATGAAATTCGCCATAGTAAAGCAGAAGCGCGCTGTGTTCATCTCACTCCACCCTTCTTACGTCCACCATGTCCTGACAGCAAAACAACTCCAAGACAACCAAAGCTGGGCGTGCGCGCATCGACTGATTAAGATAGGCGGCCCATATACACGATCGACGGAAGGGGATTTGAGCTCCCAGACGGACGGTCTTTCAGTGAGGATTCTCGAACCGCATATAAGTTAGCGCACCATAAAGATCAGCTTAACAAGGAGCCGTTACAGTCTGAACCTCGTTCCAAAGAACCCAGTTACTCGTCAGCTGGCAGATTTCTTAGGCACGACTTTCATTATGCCCCGAAGGTTCAAGCGCATTTGGTTTGCTATATTCAGGTATGTACTGATTTGCCTGGAGAAAGATATCTCGGGATTGGCCTCCCCTGCTTATCCCTCCTCATGCCAGTAGAGGGCCTTTTGACGATATGCGGACTCCGAGGTTGGCGCGACGTGAAGCCGCCATCTACCCCTGCCACACACACATGAGGAGTGTCATGATGGCCACATTATGAGGGAGTCATTACAACCTGGTCATTATTTTACTGGAGGGCTGAATCGCCCCCCCCGCCAACTGTCAGCCTCCAAATTCAAGAATCTGGCACGTTATCGTTCCGAGCATGTGAGAATGATTATAGTGGAAAGTGCACTTAACTGCTGGGAGGAAGGGTACCTCCACGTCAGCCTCACATTCTCGACGCCCTCCTCAGCACAGGTCGCTGCATTGAGCCGGCCGACTGGTGTTAATATTTGGCGCAGTGGTGTGGGACTCCGTCGCACGAGTACTACGCTCATATACGGCAATAATAAAGAACGTACGCAGACTCAGCGCATGTTATGAGCCATTGTTGCCATATTTTTAATCTAGCACAACAGCGGCGCAGGCCACTTGGATGACCGTAATCCTATCAACATCTCTACCACAACCAAACCCCACCGCCATCACTGCAACCTCGATTTCATTCATTTCAAGCAACTGGGTCACAACCATCTCCAAGGTATAGCGGTTACTTGAGTCTGTACCTAGTTTTAATAAGGGAGGTTTGCCCAGAGCCACCCTCACTCTGTCGTTCTGTATCCACCATTTTCAAAAGGCATTATAAAGTCGAAAGTACTGGGAACGAGTGGTTGACGTGACTTAATGCGCGTTTGCTCTTGCGACACATGCTGTCTCTACAGTCACGCGAACTAAAATTCAAAGCGGGAGTCTCGAATATAACATTGGATCGTCACACACACTCGCACTGCATTAACAAAAAGCCACTGTGACCGAGCCGTCAGTCCAGAAAAGGACCTTCGGTCAGTGACTGATCTCGCCAAATGTTAACCGAAATTCCGAAATGCGTTTTCGGTTAGGAAGTGGAACTGTAGTATTGATTATTTTGCGACGTAATCCCGTGACATTTCGGACAAACCGCGGTAGTTGCTTTTAAATGCACTTCTTATCGGCCGCCTGCAAGAACCACACTCGGTAAAAAGCGACTACTTAGATAGTGTTCATCCTCCATATCGATTTTCGATTCCCTTGTGCATTCAAATATATTTTATTGAAAACTCTCATAAAATATTAATTCTTTAAAAGAAGGCGAAGGCACGATCACTGGGATAGTAGGTTTATTTGCCTGAGCTTTAGAACTCGAACTAGAGTTCATCATCAGAGGCTACTCGAGTGCAGCAAATTGTGAACATTTATATCGTTCATCCTTGCGGGGGGGGGAGGGGGAGTACGTCCGTGGCTAGGTAGGGTTTGTGCCGCCTGGTCCACGATGTTCCCCCGGCGTGGAGACGCCGTTTGTAATTCGCGACGGTGTGAGCTGCGCCACCTGGCTGCGTGGGCGGAGCGCGTGATAACACGCAGGCAAATCGATGTGTCTGTTGATAGAGTTGGTGTCCGACACCCACGCCTCCAACAGCTCTCGCCCTGTCTTGTTGCCGGCTCGCGCCAATATCCGCGTGTTGGCGAAGTCGAACTCATGCCCTTTCTCCAGCGTGTGAGTGGCTACTTGAGACAGTGGGGCGCCGGCAACAAGACAGGGCAAGAGGTGTTGGAGGCGTGGGTGTCGGACACCAACTCTATCAACAGACACATCGATTTGCCTGCGTGTTATCACGCGCTCCGCCCACGCAGCCAGGTGGCGCAGCTCACACCGTCGCGAAGTGCAAATGGCGCCACCACGCCGGGGGAACATCGTGGGCCAGGCGGGGCACAAACCCTACCTAGCCACGGACGTACTCCCCCTCCCCCCTCCGCAAGGACGAACGATATAAATGTTCACAATTTGCTGCACTCGAGTAGTCTCTGAGGATGAACTCTAGTTCGAGTTCTAAAGCTCAGGCAAATAAACCTACTATCCCAGTGATCGTGCCTTCGCCTTCTTTTAAACAAGAACCTGGGATGCGCATATTCTCTTCCGTTCGTGAATATTCATTCTTGTGTTCATTTCGCAGCACATTATGTCTTCTTCAAAGTTTACACTCGAAGAAAGGGCATCTTTTAATTTTTAAAAGTTTTTCAGTCTCCGAGTTATGCTGAACTCGATCTGCCGGTGCACTTTTGCTTGGGGTTTCTAGTCAACAGGCTGTACGATTTTCATGTGAGGAAAAACATACATTTCTTTATGCTATTGACCAAATACCGTATGGTGTTCACAAAATATCACAATGGATTTTAACTATGTTGTATACTCAATGAGGAGCATTATTAAAAAGGACATATACGATGCTATTCGAATGGATACCGCACGGTCTTAGAAGATCTCATAACTTCAAACTCTTTAAGGCCGAAAGATACCTTTTCTTCGAATGTGAGACTTGAAGAAGACGTAAATAGCAGCCAAGTGCGTACAAGAAATAACATTTCTGTGAAGGCTTTCTGCAAAACACTTTAGGATTTCTAAGGACATAAAAAATCGGTATAGGCCGTGCATATTACTTATATATTCACATTTTACCGAGTGCACTTTTTGCAGGCGGCTGAAAAAAGTGCATTCAAAAACCAACACTCCGGCATGTCCGAAATATCACGGGGTTATGTCACAAGATAGCCAGTATTACAACCCAACTTAGTAATATTTCCTAATCGAAGGCACAGATCGGTCAACATTTCATGAGATCGATCACTGACTGTAGCTATTCAGTTAATTGCCTACCTTCAGTTCCTCACACTTTGGGTTCTGCGAGAGTTTAGATTGTGTCGAGCCACTATGGCGAAGAAACAAATCGCTGAATTGGCTGTGAATCGAGTTCACTCTCTACCTCCCTTTCCTCTCCTAGTATGTGCCATTGGCAAGTCTTCCCGATGTGCTCCAGATTTATTTTTCAGTATCGATTTGGGTCACAGTTTTCGCCTTTTATCAAAGTTTACGGTAGGGCAGGAGATTAGACGAATGCCAACGTTGACAGACATAATTCTTTGGATCATTACTTATAAAAGGTGATGGAATCCTCATCCATTCTCTGGACAATCGTTTTTGATTTGATCTTTACAAAAAGTTTGCCTTGAGCGTGAAATAAAACGCAACACGATGGATAGATATCACCAAAAAATTCGAGTTGCAATTAACCTTCGTCAATAAAGATCTATATGCTGCATATTTACCCTCTTATTCGCATTACGTGGTGAGTTGCAGGGTTTTCACTCTAAAAGAGCGCACATCTGCGACTCCTTATGGCGGGATTTTATGCTCCACTACGTCCTATGAGTGATCAAAATTTTGGCGTCACAAAACTAATAATATGAACTGTTTCAACCACCGGTACATCTTTAGAACACAATCAAACTCGTATCTTGATGTTTTCTCTTTGTGTTCCTCTCTAGTACAGTATTCTACCCATGGGTTCGCAGTTAATTCTTTCTGTTATTTGGGCTAACTAAGAATCACGTATTTTTGTCTTGCTTCTGAGCAGACAGAGTGTCAAAGTGGCAATAAACCCGTACAATTCTATTTTTCATACAGAAGACTCCGTCAGGTTTGGTTCTGCAGCCCCACGTGATTGATATCGTACGGTTAGCTTCCTGAAGCAATCTTGGTAGATGTGGGTACTATGACCTTACAAATATCACGTGTTCGCACCTTCCTTACCACTTGAATACAGCAAGTGACTACGCCACAGGGGAGGAGTGCTTAAACGTCAGCCTCGGTTACTCCAGTTATCAGTTCACACGCGCTTCCCTCCACGTGGTTCGAGCCCTGCTTGCGCTCTCTTTATTATCCTAATCAAGCGAGTGGCCAGCATCGGTTCGTACGCGCTTCACTGCGCGTGCTTAGAGCCCTGCTTGCGTCCTCGATATTATACTAATCTAGCGAGTGGCTAAGTAGGCTCACAAATGGAATTGTTCGGACGGACTAGGACTCCGTCGATCCCACAACAAAAAGCCATGCACTGCAATTTACCACGCGGTTCCCTCCGTGGCCTTCCAGTTTTGATTTCACCCTTCTTATCCTACAAATTCAGCGAGTGGCTGTGAGGCATGGAGAATGTGTATACGCCATCTTCACACGCGTCCCTGCGCTTGCTTCGAACTCTACTTGCGCCCTCTTTCCTTTCCTAATCCCGCGAGTCACTAAATTAAGTATGTTAACGAATATTGTGATACAAGCGAAGATGTGAGTCCCAGCTACTAGCTGATAAGAAGAAGATATCGCTGGAACAAGGGCTTCATTCGTCGGACGTTTCGGATTCTCACTTGAACCCATCATCAGAGACAGTGGCAGAAAGAGGTTTCTGCCCATCTCTGCCACTGTCTCTGATGATGCGTTCAAGTGAGAATTCGAAACGTGAGGCGAATAAGGCCCTTGTTCCAGCGATAGCTTCTTCTTCTTATTAACGAATATTGTTCTAGTAAGCTGGCCACATACTAGCAATCAAGTGGGGCAGCGGAACCAGACCTCGCCGAAGACCCTATATGATCTACATTCGCATTTTCGCACACCTACCGTTGCCACTGTGCTGGTGCTCTAAGGTGCTCCAAGTCGAGCAGACGCAATTAGAAATCTTTGTGATATCCTGCCTCAGGATCTGATCCGGTAGCGAGCCTACGATGCCGGCTGTATTATCTGCCATCACCGCCAACACCCCCACCTCCAGCGATGTGGACTTGGTCCATACCTGTCCTCATTGCGATCTCACATTCACCTCACGCATCGGCCTGGTCGGTCACTTGCGAATCCATCGCACAGATACCGACGAACTTGTGTCTGGAGAGCCAACAAACACCAGACGCGTCCGCATTAACTGCCCTCACTGCCTCCGCACACCCACTCACCGCATGGACCTACTAGGTCACATGCGCATCCACGACAACGGAAGTTACCTCAGTCTCAACACGCCTGCAAATTCACTATATCTAGTACAATCCACACCCCGCCGCCCAGCGTGTCCACCACCAACAGTTGCAGCACCAACACCATCACTGAAACCGACTCGGAAACATTTCGCCAAGTGTCGTGGCCTGGAAGGCTGCCGATTGACGCCTCAACTCAGTCCACACCGTCTGCCCTATAGTGTGTTTGGGTGGTGTGGCGGACTTGTGGGCTGAGAACCAGGCTGTCACGGCTCCTTCTCAGAGTAACCTCTGGCACTCCCACGCATGTCAGGATTATGTGTGCACTTTATGGGTAGTGCTTCTCAGTTCTCCGACACCTGGCTCTCCGCAGGTAGATGTCCTTGCGCTTCCGCTGTGTGCACAGGTCGTGAACATGACTGCCCTGTCATCCTCGTCCCTCCGACCCGTTCTGGCGCTGTTATTGTTAGCTAACATCCTTGTCAGTTGTTTGTTTTGGACCTGGGGCTGTGGTAGTGCGTCTAGGTGTGGGTTCGACCGTGCCAGCCACCCGCGTATTCTCCCACCTCCGGTCTTCTTGGCTGTTTTTTGACACCGGGCCCATACTTGGAAGAAGAGGGAATGCGGTAGATGCTGCGCAAGTCTACCTTCACTATAAACTACTCCACGCGCAAGTCACCTGCCTGCATCAGCTTGTTGTGGAGCGTCCGGTAGACATCGTCAGGCACGACGGTCGAACTGCCACACCTTACCTACCCGCTGTCAACGGACAGTCAGAGCTAGGGTTAGGCCAGTTGGAGACCTGAGAATATATCGTAACATTGACCACAAATCACTCAATACAACGGTCAAAACAAACAACATTTTGGCCAAAATAACCATCGTCAATTACGATGACCTATCTATATAATAGTTAACTGGTAAGACAACGATTTTCGAGGGTATAAACCTATACCCGTGGTCTTGCGCTTCAAGCTCACAGAGCGGTACCCCGAACTCTTCACAGGCCAGCACCTGCGCTGAAGTTGGTTTTCGAGACTCATATTCGTTTACTATCATAATTGGCTTGCAGCCTGGCAGGTCCTTCTGATGCATCTCTGCCACTCGGCTTTGCTTTCAATAATCACTTATCACATTCAGACTGGCGATTAATTTGTTCAGTTTTTTTGACAGGACAGGTATTTTGAATATAAATTGCAAGTCAAACTGAACGCAGCATTTACATGTCTGAGGACTAGCTTGGAGCTAAAAAGTAGAACACACAAAATAGCTGGCCGTTCAAATGACTTTTGATAACGACAGCTTAAAGGCGGAGGGACTATCCACTCTATTCATCCATCTAAGGACTTCTCTTTATATTTGCCCCCACCTGGACGAACGTACATTTGGCAGCCAACATTTCGATCTTGCCTACGCAACAACCTTTTTGGGGATTTAAAAGAAAATGTTTCAAAAATTTGGTGGGTGCTCTGAGTTTGGTTAATAGTTTAGATGTTTGAATTTGTGGGCTGACCTTTTCAACAACTGAATTGGCATTGTTTATGCTGGTGTTGCCCTTCTGTTTTTGTTTCGGGGAGCTGGTCAGCCCCGCATCACCTTAACCAACTCTATTTTTATTTTTAGTGACGCGGCCTTTGGTCCTTCAACATTTCATCTGAATTTGATAGCCTGCCTTCAAGCAGTGAGCAAGGTAACATCCCTTTTAGTTAAGAAGGAGGGAAAACAAGTTCTACCAACCAAAACTCTCATCTTGTAGAATAAATAAGGCATGGTTTTCTTTTTTGGACAGCATAACTGCGTTTAACTTGAGTACAGCAAACACTCTATTAGGTACGAAACTGACATCACACTCGTAAACTCGCACACATAACGCTCCTTCCAGCCGTCGCAGCTAAAGAAGTGTCTGATGAAAGTGTGGGCATACATCTGAGTCAATGTCAATGGCTGACCTTATTCACAAACCCATGAAGCCAAATCCATCTGGCATACTATCCGGCGTTATTCAAGCTGATGTCTCCGACGGTGCCATATAGAAGTCTGTTCTTTTTAAAGAACAAATGTCTATATGAAAAGATTATAAATTTATTGTTTAGAACAAGGGCTCCTCAATTTCCTATGGCGGAAAATTAAGTAAACAGTTGCGTCGAGCTTTATGGAAGGACGAAGTCGGACGAGTTTTCTTCCTAAACCATTATGAAATCTACTGGATTTGCGTGCAAGTTAAACATTGCTGGAAAATCGCTCATGATACATTATGAACGGTTCAGGTAGCTCAAACCCAAAAGACATTAAAGCAACGAAGGGAAGGGATCTGAACAGAACGAAAAGACCCTGACTTATTGACGGCACCGAAAAGTTGTGAGTTACTATCGGGGTAGGAACTTGGAGCAGTTTTTTCTATTCCGAGTTTTGTAACGCTATGCATTAATCTTGCTGAATTAGGAGGCACGATTGGTCCGAGGTAAATACGGGTCAAAGAATCTACTGACAAGTTGTTTTTGTGTATGTCACGGACCTCCGACAAGGACGAGGGAGACTGGAATGGCCATTTCTGGCTTATTAGTGGTCGTCAGCCCGTCATATCCGACCCCGAAGTGTGGAACATCTGGGGATTGAACTTGCAACCTGTTAATTAGAAGTCCAACGCCTCTAACCACTGAGCCACGGGCTCGTCGTCTTATAGTAGTAGATGTGCTAACTAATGAAATGTTAGCCGAAATTCTGAAATGCGTTTTCGACCCGAAAAGAGGACATAGGTATGGTTGCAATATTAATCACTTTGCAGCGTAATCTTAAGACAATTCGGTTACTTCAGGATGCCAGCTTTTGAATGAAGTTCCCTCCAGCCGCCTGCAAAAACAACACTCTGTAGAAGTGACTACTCAAGTGGTATGAATTTTTCACATTTATTTTCGATGTCCAAGTAAATTCAAATACATTGCATGGGAGGGATGCATAAAATATTCATTTTTCTTCTCATTTAGACAAAAATTGCGCTTTATTCAAATTTCATGCTTAATTGGAGAGTGTAATTCATTTTTAAAGGCTTATTCATTTAGAAGAAAATTGCGTCTTATTCAAATTTCATGCTTAACGAGAGCGTATAATGCGGTCTTAAAAAGTTTCTAATTATGAGACTTTTTAGGATGGTGAAATGTCCGTCCATAAAACATCGCGCCTCTGCATTTATTAATGTTGCTCGTAAAGATTGCAATGTGGCTCACATCCACCGCTGAATTTCATGAACCCCATTTATCTCCTCTTAATAACGTATAGAAATTTATGGTGTTCCGTACACGTTAAATATACAGCTTGTAGTTTGGAAATCCCAAATTTAAATGTAACGGCACGTCGGGTTCGAAGTTGTTCGGGAATTGGAATATGCCTTTAAAAATGAATTACATTCTCTAATTAAGCATGAAATTTGAAAAAAGCGACATTTTTGTCTAAATGAGTAGAAAAATGAATATTTCATGCATCCCTCCCATGCAATATATTTGAATTTACTTGGGCATCGAAAATAAATGTGAAAAAATTCATACCATTTGAGTAGTCACTTCTACAGAGTGTAGTTTTTGCAGGCGGCTGGAAGTAACTTCATTCGAAAGCTGGCATCCTGAAGTAACCGAATTTTCTTAAGATTATGCTGCAAAGTGATTATTGCAACCATTCCTATGTCATCTTTTCGGGTCGAAAACGCATTTCAGAATTTCGGCTATCAATCTGCAACTTTCTGAGACGAGTATTTGCCCCTACCCATTTTGTCCTTCAACTCTGCCGTCCATTTTTGGGTATCTTGGAGTTTTACACGTTTCTTACGCAGGCCTGCTTAGGAGGCATCAAACGCCGGACGGGTAAATGCTGCACTGAGAGTGTTCCTCCAACTCCGTTTTAAAGTGGTGGATTACTTCGTCCTTTGTCTATATATCACAACTGAAATCTATTTCACGTTTTAATGGTAAAGTTAACAACTAGGTAAAAGATAGATTTGTATTTGGATATGGTCTGCAGTGAACGGAATGTCGAATCTTCCGGCCAACGCAACTAAAATTTTTCGTGCCTTATTACCTGAGCCAAACTGGCACCGTCTGGGATTTGCTTTCAAGGTCTCCCTGTGGATTATTTTATGTCCCAGTGTGGCACACATTGAACACCCGCGCAGGCAGCGTTTATTTCCAATTGTATTGTAGCCGCAAAGACGCTAAAACGTATTAATAGCATAAGCATCTCCTAAGGATGACTGGAAATTACATCATAAACTGTAAAACACTCTTCAGACCTCAGCAAGGCAAAATACGCTCGTACAGCGTCTCCTGCATATCCATTAGACAAAGCAAGTGGTGTATTCCTCGCATATGCCTGCGATGCTTGATTCTTTTGGTAAATTTGGAGGGAAACGGGACTATTTACTCCATCGTACTTTTCTGTTGCTAATAGGAAGTGCATGTCCGAAATCAAGTCTAGAAAGACTAAAAGTTGACTAAAGGGTTTCAGACTTTAAGAACTTTTGCGGAGGACTGAACGCTGGCTTGCATTTATAGGATTCCCTATAAATTCGCCCTCTGTAAGTCTGTGTAACTTGGTTCTTTGCTGTCTTTTCTTTGCAGGCTGTGAAGTATGGATTCTTGAATTTCGATACATTCGATCTCGATGAGTACGAATATTATGAGGTGAGCCGAAATTTCTAGACAATTAGTGACCAAATACTAATTTACAGAAAGTTGAAAATGGTGATCTCAGCTGGATCATACCGCAAAAGTTTGTCGCCTTCTCAGGTCCTCACTCTCAAAGTATGCTCGACCACGGTAGGTTGGATTGTTGGCATTAAACCATCGGTCGCTACTTAACTTTATCAAAAGGGTGTGTCCATACGTCTGCCCACCAATCAAAACCTCCACTAGGTTTTGAAATATAGCCTTTTTTGTATGCATAAAATATAGTCAGTAGATATGCGTTGACTCAACCCAACGCGTGGAAATGGTACGAAGAATGCTCTGCCATTTTAATGTATCTAACTGCGACGATCAATCTCTTGTGGTTTCGCAAGGCCTAATTTTAATCGGGGAAACACGTTTAACAATAAATAATGATAAGTTACGGTTAGGAGGTTTTTTGTCAAAGGTGACTGGTCTTTTTGACATTTAGATCTCATAATGTAAGGATTGATTTTAAAACAGTGCTTTTAGTGTGAAAACCACTTACATTTATCTTTCCTTATAAAACCTTGCAATCATTGACTTGGCTTTTCGCGATGAAGAAAAAGCAGAACTGCATTATGGATGCATGACCATTTCGGACAATATTTCAATTTTAAAAGACACAGCAGCATTAAAATAAATGAGTATGTTTCGAAATGCATCACTTCCGACCTAAACTATTGCGGTTGCAATCAGTTGTCTTAGTACCGTTCTGAGAACGCATGGATTTACGAAGCAAATTAAATATTCGCAAACCCAAAAATGGAGTTCAGGGGAGTAAGCAAGAGCTCACTGCTTACTTGGATTGGCACATTTCCCCCAATGTGGCGGCAATGAGAGGAGGGAAATTTAAGAGTGCAATGTCGCTGTTTAGCGCTTTATGACCCCAGAGTCTAGTTGGAAGATTTCGTCGACATCTGCTCCATTATGCACCTTTGTCTTCCTGCCTGGACGATTCTTCAGACATGGACTGCTGCGGAGTTGGTTATCGAATGCTGCTACTTAAGCCTTTCTTTGAGGCATTCAAAGTCTTTCTTTTACCCTCACGGTGCCTAAATGAAGACTCCGCCAAGACAATCAGGCTGCTACGATCTCGGTTTTTTTCAGTCTGTGGATTTGGGTTCTCGTTTTATTTTCTGCCCTCTTAGACACAGCCACGGTGGACCCTTAGCGCACTACTGGTGGCAACTGAGACTGCAGGAACAGACAGACTAATCAAGTTAGCTAATTTAGTTCCTGCTTGCCTTGCTACCTGCGTGTAAGAGGCGAGGAAGAAGATGCAATATTTGATAACAGAATACGCCCACCACAGTTTTTTCACCATACTGCAGTCTGCCTGCTAAGTATGTTAACTAATTTTGCGCAATCACCCTGCTGATTGCGGAACAGTGCTCAAATCTTGACAGAAGTGATTGAGCTATGGTCGGCGCTCCAAATTTAGTGGATAGAAAGGAGTTCACTATTTACCGGACTTATTACGATTCCTAGGTATTTCGTTGCGTTCATTTCACAACGGCCGTCGAAACATTATGATTAGCGGAAAGGAGTGAAGTTAGATTTCGTAGCTATTGCCTGCTAAAAACTGACCCGTTCTTCCAATCGTGAACACTATATAGCATAACGTCTTTGGCTCTACTTTCGCCCATCTCGTGTTAACTCCAATCTTTTTAACTTTTCCGGTCTTCCGGCTCTTTCAATAGCAGTGAACTTAGCCCTGTCAGGTTACGGTTAGTATCCATACTTCGAGAATGTTAGTCTTGCGGGGATGCCTAGCGCAAACTGGAAACGTTGTTTACCGGTAACCAGAAAACTATTAAATTGGCAACTTCAAATGGTCGGTATTTTTGCAAAAATCCGATGTCATCACGGCACTACAGAGGACTTAGTTTGAAAATTTACACGCTGATCTTTTCCTTTAATTTAACTGGACCTAATTTCACCTATATTTATGGAAACAGGTCGCCGGCTACGTTTTAATCTCTCCAAAACGTCGCCATATAAAAAACATTGAGATAAAATGGATATCCTTTTTGAAAAACCCCTTAAATATGTGACACAGAGCTGTGCTTATTATGTCTATTCGCTTTTGTTGCTGTCGTCAGGTCTTTCTCACCCAAGTTACATGTGCCATCAAGGGGTGAATTTTGTGAACCTACAATCTGGAACGTCCGCATGGAATGTATAGGCCTATACTGGGTCTTGCGCACCGAAGGGCCATTTTCGCTTACCTTATTCATTGTCTACTGCAGTATAGCTCTCTTCCCTTAAGCAACTGTTTTCCGTCGACAGTGGATCAATATCCTTTATGAAGATCTCCCCAAACCTCTCAGTGTGTTAGAAAAACTGCTCTACCTACCATTTAAAAATACTGTCACACCTATATGCCTAAAAATGTTAACACGCAAAGGCAAGTCTTCTATGTACCAGAGCGATTTCGGATGCAGATATTAGAATCCATGTGCACCGGAAGCTGAAGGGTTATGCAGTTCTCAGCAACATAGTGTGATTTTCCTACTTTTATCATTGTTTTACGACCTGACAGTTAGAGGGTTTGCCTGGTTTTAGCACCCAGTAACGATCCTTTTGCGCAGCAACGAAAAACTCCAATTTCTGAAAAAATATACACTGGCAGCTCTTCCTGCGCATCACCTCAGTTATCACTTTGAAAACGCAGAGATAAACCTGCGTTTCGTTTTTTCGGGTGCATTTTCTCCCCTATATTTATCAATAACGGTCTTCTGAATGTAACTTTTGTAGATTCATTCGGAAATACGTTGTCCGTGGTTATTTTTCCCACAGTTGAATGGAAAAAAAATAGTTGATGGCGGGTAGGCTTCGGGAGCCTCTTTATTCTGCATTTAAGGCGCATCTTCAGCGGATCCCTCCTCCGCCATGTTTAGTCATTAGTGTCGATAGTGTTCGACACGGTTGATACAAGCAGTTGGCAAAACCGCTTCACGTCGAAAGTTTTCGATTGTTCACACTCTACTCTTCAAATGCGCCGGCCTTAATTAAATTATGAAATGCTGTCGTCATAAATTTCGTATAAGCACATGACATTTTCCCCCACTAACCATGCACTTTACCTGCGTTCACATCGATAGGAATTAATAGCGAACTCACAGATTTTGTAGAATGATTCATAGTAGAAAAAAGCATTGAAACGTGTGTTGGTTTTTGACTTTTTGGAGTAAACACTTCTAACTTTAAGTAAGCCGGATATTTTTTATTAAACAATGTATCCAAAAACAACGCTTTTTGCCTTTTTAATCTGACAGTACAGACCAAAGTCAAAAAATCCACTTACTGAAAGGATATTTTGAACCCTGCTGAGGCACAGGTAGAAGCAAGTGTTGTCCTCGATTTTTCAGATACATATCTGGGTAGGAAGTCCTCGTACATTTCTAAAAATGTAGCGTATACTGAATTTGATATTTTGACATCCTTATGTTTTTACATGTGACTGCCAGTTAAGTGTTTGATAATGCAATTTGAGGAATGACGTGTAGGAATTGGCTTTTGTAACACTGAATACGCTAGCGAGAGAAGCGATAAGCCGAAACGATGGCCCATGGGAGGTTCCGTCTTAGGGTTCATTGTTCTTTTGAAATTTAGATTTCAACCACTTGAGTTAACTTGTAGTAGCATTTTAGACCGATTTTTCCTGTTGGTTACCGGCACTGTAGTGGGCTCGTTAAAAGAGGCCTAGTTCCAATGTATTAATCAATTTGTGGATCGCAAAAAGCACATTAATGTTGAGGACCCATTCGCTAACAACCGGAAAGACAACTACAGTTTTTTCAACATTTCTTTGGCGACTGCTTACTTTCGCGGTACCTTATTAAAAACTACTCTTTTTTAGGCTATCCTGTACATTCCCCAGAGTACTATCTTCCGTACTTCCGTAAGACTGGTGTCTCCACAGTTATTCGTCTAAACAAGAAAATCTATGACGCCAACAGGTTCACCGATGCAGGAATTCAGCACTATGACCTTTTCTTTCCCGATGGCGGTGTTCCTCCGGACTCCATCATGCGCCAGTTTTTGGATATTTGCGAAAAATCTCCGGGGGCTATCGCTGTCCACTGCAAAGGTGAGGTTAACCAGGCCTGTCTCTTGAGGCAAAAATAAGACAAATATATCCAGTTGTTTGTCCCGGAAATTGTGTTTTAATGCCCAATAACTAATCTGTTTGGGGCCCAGCTTCGACGTTTTAATGCCCGCGTTCCTGTACTGTTTTTCATTTTGGACGGAAGGTTTACGACTTCCTGAAAAAAGATCCGTGCAAAGATGTTTTGAAACTATATTCCATAGCATGTGCTGAGGTGCGTACACCTGAACCCAGTCGATTTTTTGAAGTTTTTTTGTAAAAGAAACACAGTCACATGATGCTGGCATTCGCTAACGTTACCTTACTGAAGGACGAAATGTGGGTGTTCCATTTGCCTTGAAATTGCAACTTTGAGCTCCGTTGGCGATGGCGTAGACACAGGTACTTAATAATCAGTAAATTTGGCCAACAGCGCCTAGGTGTTATCCCAGGGCCTCCCGACTCTGTGTGGTGTGTGGGCCGACTTGCGACTGCAGACGATCCACGATCGACCATTCCAATCTGTATTGATTTTTGGAAGAAGGCAACTTTGATTTTCAACCAATAAAATGTTTTCTAAAAGTCCCCTAAGCATCATAGTCCGAAGACAAACAAAAGGGTTTCCACCTAGCCCACGAGTCCGACTATTGGTTAAAACCTCGCTTTTCGCCGAATTGTTCTAATTGTTTTCTCTTTAGCCGTGTCTTTAGTCAGAATGAGTGAATAGCGAATTCAATTAATCATATTGAGGAAAAATATTCGGGTTTCTGCACTAAAGTGGAAAAGTACCTTTAGGTTAGCGCATAGGCAGAGTGTCGATTCGATTTGAAATGAGCGTCCTCAATAGGTACTGCATCCAAAGCAACATTTGTTAACCTCAGTTGGCAGGATGTCACACGCAAAATACGAGCTTTTTGTTGATGATCCAAAAGCGTAGCTGAGGTATGGTCCACAAGATTCGTGCGTGGACTACTTCTTAGTTTAGTTGCTTAGGCAATAATTTGAATGGGGATTTTACCTTGACCTTCTTGTTCCAACTACGAATATTACAGGATTCTTCAGTAGAAAACATGTAAAATTTCAGCCTCGTTGTTTTTACTGTGGAATTTAATTTAAAAGCGTTTTCAAAATTTTTATAATTTACGCTTGTTCAAATAAGCCTTATGTAAGACTCGCGTCTTCCACAGTAATTTTTGTTCTCAATAATAATCACAAAGAAGCCTCTGCGATTCCTACTACCAAGTCTGCGCAATGCACTTAAAACTCTCACCGTACCGTGTTGCATCTTGCCTGCGGGCAACGCCCAAACACGTTTCCGGCGAGGCCTCACTCCTTTGCTTGTCTCTTGATTTTGCTTTGTTCTCTCGGGGCGGGGATTTTGCGGAATTCTGCAAAGCACCTAATCTATATTTTTCGTCGTTGAAAAAATTCTAAAGTATCTTTTGCTGGTAAAGCCTTACTGGGTGCATTCCACGAAAACGTAAACAAAATATCTTCGCTCTGCAGTACCAAAGTCTTTTAGTATAGAGCATTTGCAGGCGAGTGGAGTGACATGTACGAAATCAACTAGTTTTGGCAAAGCGGTATAAAAAATGATGCTTTTACGGGCGTTACGTCTTAAAATCTCGTTCAGTGGAATTTTCATGATTCTTTCCATTATGTCTAGCATATTAGCTTTTTATTCTCTACGTGTCTGGAATGCCGGTCCACTGGTTTTGCTCGTGATTTAGTGCATCCTAACATGGCGGGCTGTGCATTAAGGACCGACAATCATAAAGCAGTCTTCATTGGCAAAGGATGGTCATGCAGTACATTTATAATGGTCAACCCATTCTAAAATAAATCCTTTGCTTATGGAGATGGGTCTCTTATGTGAAATTTTAAGCTGTTTCAAGTTCAAATCACATCTCTGTTTGTTAAGCACGGAGCGATCCAAAAAGACCTTGTGCTTCTAGCTTTCATGAATACATTTATATCGTAAAGACAAACACGTGGTGTGAAGTTTATGATCGATACTTGTGTTGCATTTTTCTTACGCCACCAAGGAGGATATCGTTCTAAGACAAAAACATATCCTAAAACAACTGAATTGCGCCAGATGGTCAATCGCATTGGAACACAAAACAATATTACCCATTTTCACTTTTGTCTGAAGGTGGAGAAGGAGTTATAAAATGGTAATAAATTAAATTCAGAATGCACATTATATGAGCCTACAAAGTAAGAGCAAAACTTAAAAAGACAGGGAGCACTCAGGTGTTCTCGTGAGACCGGGCAGGACTTCAAACAGAAGCTATTTGATATTTGTGGGAGAAACATAACTTCGAGAGCGGCTGCTTGCCCCTTACTTCATTCTTCCTTAGCCATGCTCGAATTAAAAAATCGAAGTGTCGACTTTATCCCTAGATGCTGAAAGCTCCCCTATCGTTAAATCTAACCGCTGGCTCTCACGAAAGCGCAAAGAAAATCTATGTATTGACTTACCAATGTACTCGAACTGTTTGATCTATCTGCATTCAATGTAGTTTAAAATTTTAATACACATTCATCACTCGTTTTGCTTGAAAAATAGCGCAACTGAGAGAAGAGCTAGCCGTTCGAAATAGCAACCTTATTTTTTGCGGTTACTCGTTTCTTCCGAATTTTTCCCCTCAAGTTGTTTGTCGCACAAAAATTCGAGTGTTTCTGTTTACAGAAGTGTGTAGAATCTGGATGCTGACCATACTTGTTTCTGTCTTACACCGTTACCACCTTTTATGAGTGACTTCAGAGGTCTTTCTTGTTCATATTTTCGTTTATGGACCTGGCAGCAAGCATACACAGGTGTTGCCCGTTAACCGTTCCCCTCCATTTCCTACGCCATTTTTTTCGTGAGCTGCTTCACCCAACGGGAGCTGCAGCTGCAGTGCTGATTCTTGCCTGCAATGCATTGTTGAAGTGGTTTTTGGGAAACTGTCAAACTTTGACTACTGTTTGTGAAACTACCGAAGACTTCCGGCAGGTCTAGCATAGCGTGAAGTCAGCACCCCTTGTCTGTTTAAGCATGGCTTGGAAGTCAGGGAAAGACCCTTTTAACGAAAACTTGAAGCAATGCCAGGGAGAGAACTGCACAAAGTTTTTAGCCGTCGCAAAAAGCGCAGAAACACTTGTCTTAAAGCATGTCAAATTGTTGTGTACACCCGCCTCTCTTTAGCTCCTATCTAGCACATGTTCCAGCAGATAAAACGTTGACTTGCAGTTTTTAAGCTCTACTCAGTATAAACCCTTTATATACAGATGGATCGGGAAAAAAGGTATTGTCAAGACTTAAAGAGTTGTTGGTTTTTATCCTGGCAGTTGATGTTACTGCGTAAGCTGATAAATTAGCTCTCATATCTTTTAAAACAAACACATGCCTTAGCATTTTCTGGCACCAACAAATATATCTAACGTTTTTCAACTGCCTCCTATCGCTTGGTTTCAATCTCTTCATAATGTGAGACCGACAAAATAACGAATAAGAAAACAGAGTCTAATAAATAAAAAGTAATCTCAAGCCACGACGGGAAAGTAATACGAAGACAGCAATGCACAAATTTTGTGAATGGGCATTACCATGGCAGACCAAGTTTATCACGTGATGTAGTTGCTTTTGCAAATCTTGTTTTTCTTCCGTAACTGGGTTTCCTTCCAACAATGCAGTGTTTACGCACGAGCATTGACCCGGAAGGCGAGTTTTGGGACATTTGACTGTCCTATCTCTGGTTCTTTGAAATAATTTATAACTCATTCCAGAGAAAATCTCATCAGATATACACTATCCTAAGTAAAATTCTTGTAAGCTCCCTGCTAATAAACGCATTTAAACAACAGCCGTCAAACAGGCCAGTTCCCATTTAACACACAGGATATCTCATCGAAACTTCACAAAAGTGGATGGATATTATTTCACCTTAGACTGAAAGCACGGTACAAAGTGCATAGAAGTTAGTAATCCACAACGAATTACTTCATTTCAGGATCATTTCTTCGTAGTGAGAATTATGCTAATTGTATTCCACATCAACGCGCCACCATCTGGGGACGTGTATTAACTGGGTTTCATTATGAAACTCGGAGTCTCGAATAGTAGCTTTGCAGGTGCAGGCTACCGTAGAAAGTTCCTCGGAGGTCAATCTTAAGTCTTTAACACCGGTTTGACCAGGTTATAATTTAATTATCCACTTTCGCTTTAAGGCCTTTTAGTTTAAAAACCGGGAAAAGTTAGAGTATCGGAACCGCACTTCCAATGAATTCTTTTAAACACTCATTTTTGAGCACATTTACCGCTACTTAGAAGACTTATTCTTACTAAATATTTAACTTTAAAGAGTCACCATAAGGGGAATATTTTACGAACTAAATATCAAGACGAGACTGTGTAGTTAGAATTTTTTGGTCAGACAAAGGTACTCCGTCTTGCCGTTGCGATGTCACCTGGTAGATCTTATAGCAGATCTGAGGTCATCGAAGTTCCTGTCTTTGCGTAACTTCGGCCTTTAAGCGATTCTCATCCACCCTAGGCAGGCAATTCAATTAACCAGTTTTCTTCATTTAACCCTTTCTACTTCTCATGGTTATCTCTATCCCAACACTCTTTAGCCGGTCTTGGTCGAACAGGCACCTTGATTGCGTGCTACATGATGAAGCACTTTCGCTTTTCCGCGGCCGAGGCTATCGCGTGGGTTCGAATCTGTCGACCTGGTTCTATCATCGGTCGTCAACAGAACTGGCTGGCTGACCGACAGGCCTGGTGCTGGATTGAGGGCGATTTACTTCGTCAGGCCAATAACAAGCGAGATCAAACGCCCCTGTTGACAGCTAATGTCACCAGCACTCCTGGAAGTGCTAGCGTGCCGGCAAAAGCTACCGTAAAATGGAACTACGAAAATATCAATCCCTCCCGCTCCCCTGGGGTCTACGACCAGAATCCCTCACCACCTCCAATGCGGTCGGCCGAGCTTCGAATCCCCACAAACGGCAGTCCAACTGATAATCGTTCCTGGTAATGCTTTGTTATTCGGACTTTTTATTGCAACTTTTGCGACCTCATCAGTAGAGGTTTCAGGCTAGCTACGATAACGCGATCTGAGGACTTATTTGCTCCTATCTATGTTGGGCACTACGGTGACTGGTATAGCTGACCCTAATGGCCGCAAACTTGCTAGACGTTGTGGCACATACGGCGTGACCAAAGAATAGACCCTAAGCAACCATATTGTTTGCTGTCTATTCTTCGTTACTCGTAGGATCATTCGTCGGAATGGACAAGGATCATACCTGCTCGCATGAGCAGTTGTGTGTGCGGGGGAGTTAACGCCTCGTTGTGCACCATCGACCCACACGATAGGATTTAGAAGACGGTGGAGTGGTGTGGGCGCAGTGACTGATGTAGAATGAAGTCCCTAAAATGGGACACGCGGTAGATGTACTGAGCCCGCACGGGGGCTAAATCTGAGTCCGCCAGGCGTTGTCGGGACTACGCACCCATTGCAAATTCCAACATAAGTGTGTGTCGGCATGTCCAGTTGCAGGCCCACGTCGCAGCCACTGGGAACTGTGGCGCCCCCTATCTTTTTTGTACTATAAAATCCTGGTTAGTTTTTTGGGTCACAAGTTATCATATTAGCAGCACAGGTACTCGCGCTTCACCGATATTCTTCCGCTGCATGGCACAGCTGCGAGGGGTTTGGCTCTTCAGTGGGCCCCCCAGCATTCCCCGTCCGCCTCCTGGTAGATACTCCAGTTTACAAATTGTTGTTTTTTTATTTTCTCAGAAATTAAATGCGAACTTGGAGTACGTCAGTAAGGTCTATAGGCGCGGACCAAAATTTTATATATGAATATTTGGGCCGTAGTCCATTAGCCACAGCGGGATAATCACGTGATAATTATTAACTGCCGACAGGCCATTCTGGTCAGTGTTTGATATGGACCAGGGATTGTGGGGGTAGGCGTAGGTGCTGGTTTCGCCGTGTCAGCCATCTGCGACCTCTCCCACCTTCAGTCTTCTTAATTCTCTCTTAATACCGGGTCGAGCTGGGGGAGGAGAGAGTGCGGCAGATGCAGCGCAAGTCTAGAGAGAGAGAGAGAGAGAGAGAGAGGAATGCGCTTTATTTTGAAATCATATGTTCAAAATTTTTAGCAAAAAGTTGGCTCCATTCACTATGGGCAGTAAATAAGTTAATAGATTATTCAAGAGTCAAAGTTTAACACAAAGAAACGATTATTATGGGGATAGTTCAAGTCTTAGCTTCTGTATTTCTGTCTCTTCGCACGTAAGATAGCGCGCTAGGAATGGCAATACAGAAGCTCGATAAGCCGATGTGCGACAGGATATAAGACGGAAGTTGCGGCGCATCGGGCGGGAAGACTTGGCAGACATAAGATCGGAATGTAGGGGATGGGCAACGTCATCTAGAATTCGACCAGCAAATTGCTTGACCGCATTGAAGTGTCGGTGTAAGATTGTGTCAACTAAAAAAAAAATATAAGAAACGCCAGCAGCTGAAGAGAGCATGCGGAGGATTCGTTTCAAAATTAAAAGATCCTTTTTTAACAAAGCAGGAAAAACGACAGGAGAACAGTATAGGATAAGAGAAAGAATGCAGACATCAATGAATCGCCAGACTAAGGGTTGAGGTGTGTGGTAGGAACGTAAACGACGAATGTAGTAAAGAAGTTTACGAACTTTAATAAATAGGGACTCATTATGGAGGGAAAAAGAAAGATTTGAGGACAAAGTAACGCCGAGATACCTGAAAGAGGATACTTCGTTAGGAAGAATGTCAAAGGAATCAGGGTTAGGAGGGGGCCGCAGTATAGACTAATTCACACGCAAGTCACCGTCTTTGCTCCCACCCTGTTGTGTAACACAGTGGACATCGTGCGAATCGACGGTCGAACTGTTGTCAGAATAAAGCTCCATCTATGTGCGACATGTACGTACTAGTTCCTCAGCACATTGCAGTTGCCGAGGATTCCCAGCTTGGACATTAAAATAGAATTCATCCCATTTGTGCACGATCAAAACTATCGGTTGCGTTATTCACCCTTATCACAGTTCCTCGATTCAATATCCCTCTCCGTGTTCCGTAGCTGGCCTAACGATTGGAAGACCTAATTGATTGTTAAAGGGAAAAAGGAGACCAATCTGAGGGATTAGTCTGCGACCGAATACCAGCCCGTGGTTCGCATGCGTATAGAAGTGAAAAAGTGTCCTTCCCGATTTCTATATCATACAATTAACAGTCAGACTGCAAAACAGCGTCATGGACCAAAGGCTGGAATATAGTCTCAATGGCAACTCTCCGCTAGACCGAAGGACGATGTAAAAACAGTGTTAAAGGATAAATGCGATCTCTAAAAAAGATTAATAATCACACGGCCAGGAAAGTATACACGATGGATGTGTTGAATGGTGTGAATATTGGTGGTACTAGAAAGACTGCGCTCAGTGACAACAGGGCAAGAAAGTGGGGGGGAGTGAGAGAGGCTAGGGATCAGCGCGTATCTGTCTGTAATTGAAGCAGTTGGCCTACGATATCCAAATCAACATGGCTGAACCGTGCACCGGTGCTGGGAATAGTGCTCGGTAGGGACTTGTTTTAACGCTAAGCTTTGCTCCACTAGCAGCTCAGATACGCATGCGTCCTACCTTCGACGTCCTTACTCAAGTCGGGTCAGGCAAACCTTTCGTCAAGGATTACCTGTAAGTTCCGGATTCCGGAATGGTGTAATTCATGCAGATATTGAAACACAGTTCGGCGCATCAAGGTGAACACTATCGGATGATGAAAAATCAAAATATTGTAAAGCATTTTGCCGTGATCGACAGTCAAGGGATCGTTCTCAAACCGGAAACTACCAGATGCCCCATCACCAGAGAAACAAACTTACACTAACCGTCAGCTATAAATGTCAGGTCAGTCCCGGTGGAGTTGGTCTTATGCATTGGAGGGCCATGTCAGCCACCGTATTTTGTTATCCGCCGATATGACGGATATCATAGCTGAACTGGGAAATATAGACCAGCTGGCGGATCTCCGGGTATTGTTTTTTTGCAGTGGGACTTAAAAAGGAGGGAAAAACGTCTATGGTTGGTGAAGATCGTTAATTCCCAGCCCCCAAGGAAGTGTCGAAAGTGCTTCACGGCTAGGTATACGGCCAGGAAGCCCTCCCCAAGCATGCTGTAGGGCCAGTAAGCAGGCGATAAAGTTCCGGTGAAGGAATTCACGAGTTGGGTTTGACCTGCAGGGTGTTGTTGAATGACCACTCCAATTGCAGCATTGGGTACGTCGAGAGCAGAGTGAGTCAGGACAGTGGTGTCGACCAAGGTAGCCTTTGCCACGTCCAAAGCAGCTAAGGCGTCTGCGGGGAGCTCGAACTGACCTTAGGGGGTCTGAGAGGGGGTTCGTGAGCTGCAGAATGGTGTCATCGCCCTGCAAAAGAAGCAAACTCAGCCTACGACGGGAGAGGGTGAGTAACAGTGAAGTCGATGACGTCCGGGAAACTCTGACCAGGGGACATCGAAAATACACTATGATGAGTTGAGAACAATGCCAAATTGTTTCGTCGATCAAACGACGTTACAAGGTGCGCCATGTGCTCCTGGGCGATAGTCCTTCTCATCAAGCGACCGTCAGTAAATTCATAGACAAAGGATAAGTCATGGGGTACTCTGTCTGCGAGCACGTAAGACGTTTAGAAGACCTTGTGAAGTCCTAACGACGTGATCAGGAACTCGGGGAGACCAAATAGATAATGGCAGCCGTCTTCAAAACTCCCCCCGAAGCGATGGGGATCTAATGGGATGCCCATAGATAAGATTGAAGACCAAGGCACTGGAAAATTCTGGAGATGTGGGACACGATAGCAGTCGAGGGTATTGGCGGTTTTCAAGGCGCAGTAATTACCATATGGTTGGCCATCACCAGTGGCAGTCTTCTAAACCACTTGCAGCGACAAGGGCTCTTAACTTTTCGACTGACGTCCGATGTCCATATGAGCTATGTCCTCGGACTCGGCCATGGCGGTAGCCCGATGTTCAGGCGCGAAACGACGGGGTCGAGAAAACACTAGAGGATCAGTGATGTGAAAGCGCTGAACCCCATAATGCGACTGGTTAGTGACGATGAAGCTGGAAGGGGTGAGATCAAAATACTTGTCGAGGAGCTACTAAGACAAACTAATCGGGTCGAGTTCTAGAACAGCAAAGTGGGTGACGTCTCAGGGGAGGGAATACGCCGAACGGTAAGAGTGGTGAAACGTAGGAAGCCATCGGGGACGAAGACCCACAAGAAAAAAACGTCGAAGGCCAATGTTCAAGGCGGGAGAGCAGGAACCGAAGACGACGATCGTGGGATGTTAATCTCCTGAAGGAAGGAGAGCGGAGTCGGGACACCAAAGGTCGGCTGCTGTTAGGGGATGACATGTGGCCGGGCCTCAATGTCGAGGTGAAATCGTTTGCCATTTCTGTCGCTGACGAAAACACTTTAACCAACACCATGGAGTCCGCAAAGAACGGTCGCAGCGACCCTGTTGCTGGGAAGCTTCGCTGAGCTGGTTAGGATGAGCGGGGGGCCACAATGGTGGGCTGACAATAAAGTTTAGTCGGTACCGACAGATCTCAGCTGTGCCTGGGTGAGAACGTGGGCTTTGGCGATTGCGACTGGGCAGCCAGCAATAAAGGCTGGTGGACTGTTGACTTTTGAAAGCTGTCGCGGACGCGGACAGCTTGGATAGCTCTGCTTTGAGCTCATGTTGATCAGAGTAAATGGATTGCTGAGAGAAATGGGGAATCGTTGGATTCACGAGGCTCAGGATCATGATCTTGTAGTCAGCCTATTCAGTGACCTTTGAAACAGGGAGTCCGTCCGGCCGGAAGCTGGAATTTTCCCCATGACCGTAAGTAGATGTTCCATAAATACTTCCTTGAGGGATTTCTTGTCTGCCTCCATGTCAACAATTAGACAACGCATGTGACACAGGTCTGAAGGCTTCCTGTCCTCAAAAAACCCATCCTTGAAATAATGGCAGGATCATGAACGCGGATTGTAAGAGCCTTCTCCCTATCGACTCGCGGCTTCACAAGGCCCAGTTTTTAGATGAGTATCGGAGTTTACTTAGAGCGGCTTTCGAAAAGCTATTGAAAACCGTGATCTGTCACCTTGTCTGCTATAAGACGTTGATTCTGCTCGAACGATCTTTGTAGATCAGCGCTTTAATAACACACACCCATTTTCCCAGACTCGGACCTTTGGACTCTCATCGGAATCTAACTTTGAGGGACCAGATCTGGAACGGAGGGGTTTCGACGAAGATGATGAGTTCGAATCAACTACGAAAGGGTGTTATTACTGAAATTATTTTGCCGGTCAAAAGCGCTGTGTATGACGCTTAAATTTGACTAGTTTTGCCGTGAACTCTTGCCGGAGTAAAAGACACTTGTTTATCGTCTGTCGGCTCATTTTTCGCTTTAATTACTTGAACCAGCTTGATCCAACACGCGTTTTCAACTATGCATTACCAGTTTTTTATAGTAATGCATGAAATTTTAAAACTCCAGTTTTCACTAGGGGAGAAAACGTTGTTCTTATTTGTGGATAGGGTGTTGTGGCGGACCTCAGTTCTGCAAGTTCCGGGCTGGGTGCAGACGCGCTAGGCGATTAAGACGTCCGCATTACGGCGCCAAGGTGGGGTAGGGGTGTCCCAGGTGAGAATTCTACGGGTCCGTTCTAACCCTTGGAAGTACTGTCTGCATTCAAAGCTGATGGCTGCGATACTTCCGGTCGTGCGTGTGAACCAGCCATTAGTTCGTTACTAGCCTTTTACTGCGGTCACAGAATGACGTCTAAGTATATTTTTTATCTAGGTTTTACTGCTGGAAATTGCGATATGGAACCAAAAACGCCTCAGAATACATGCATATTCTTGCAATTCTTAGGGAGCTTTTGTTCGTTTAATTCCTCAACGCCCAACGGTTGTTATCACTTTGCTTCGCTTGAAAACAAATGGGAGCGTGTTTTATGGAAACGCACGAAGTTACAAATTTATTCAGCTCGTGTTCCCACCTGATCACTTCCTAATTTGCTCCTTATTACCCTATAACCTACCACTTAACCAACTGTTTGGCTGTTTCCTGCGCGAAGAGAATTCAAAGTGCAACCCGGGGGTTTTAAATCCAGCGTCATTGTGTCTGTAGTAGTGCATGCGAGACCGAATAGTACATCGAAAGCCAGGGTCAGAGGAGGTCATGCATAATAAATTTCACAGTCGAATAGTCCGCGCAGCGACCCTATCCGATCGATTGCGTACTCCCTTCACCTATTCATATGCTTTTTTCGCGTCCTGCCATAACGCGCGCACAACCAGATGTATCCTTTTTTATGCCTTTTGCAGGCGCCTTCTCCAGGCCAACGGTAGAACAACCAACGCCAGCACTCCAAAACCCGAATCTCCCAGCGTTTTCCGAGTTGATTCAATGGGGGACAGCACAGCAACGGTCTATCGTCACCGCGTGCAGACGAAACCGCCCACTTTAAACGCGTCCGCGGCAAACTCCGACTCCGACAAGCTCGATAGGAATCGAGGAACGAAAGTCGGCTCCGCCTCGTCGAACAGACTTTTGAGCAGCAATGAATCCCCTGACACTTGTGAGTTTTAAACTCTAGTCCCTCATTTAACGCCTTCTAATTTCTCCTACTGATAGCATCATGCTTTTTGTGAGCTCATTATTTGCCTTTGGTTCTACCTGACTCAATGTTTACTACGGTTGCATTTCACCCTCCAGCAGTGTTTAAAACATCTGCTGGTATCCGCCGTCTCCTTATAGTGGACATAACTTGACCCTTGGATTTTGGTGTTTATGCGGTGCCTATTATCGAAAATTAAACGAGACAATGGTTTTCATGATATGACGGAAGAATGGATGAGGGTTTTTAAAGATTTGGGGGTAACAATCGGGAGATGGCACCCAAAAAAATCCGCCTAACCAGAGCAGCCTGTCTTACGGGACAGATGGTAATAGTGGTTTTATGGGTGGTGGCTGGTCGGGATGTACGATACTAGCCGACAGAAAGCCTTATTTGAACAGGTGAATGATCGAAGTTGGCCCGCTCTCTGTTCCATTATTACAAAATGGGTCACCAAAGGCAGTATAGTAGTAACGGACGAGTGGAAGGCGTATAATCGTCTTCCCTCAGAAAGTTATCTACATTTCTCTGTTAACCACTCAAAGAACTTCAAGGATCCTACCACCGGACGACCCACCGATGACCTTGAGGCATACTGGAGTAGACTGAAAAGGAAGCTCTACGAGGGGGGGGCCCTGTATGTGGTCGAGCTGTGTGGACTCACATAGACGAAAAACGGTATCGTCTTTGGTTTGGCCTCAATGTCATGTCTTTGACAGATGCCTGGGAACTGTTCCTGTCCCATGTTGTGCAGACTTATCCTATTTAAAAGTGATTTTGTTTTGTAATAAACTGCCATAATGCGAATGTATGCGGTATATTCAGGTGTACGTATGTGACGATGGGGAAGGTTGGGCAACAGCGACCATCGTCCATGTAACATCCTGCGATGTTCATTAGGCCAGCCCATGTTAGGCTTTCGGGGAAAGTCCAAGTAGTGCGTGAAAGTAGGCCCGCAACCGCTGATATAGCCTGAAGGCGTTTATTTCTAGGCGTATTATTTCTAGGTAACGGATTTTTTGGGTGCCATCTCCCGATTGTTACCGATTTGGGAATTCTTCATGTTAGAGCTCTCGGTATTACAACTCCCTCTCCGCCCTGGCCCTGTAACATTAAGGGGGGCTGTCACTGGACACTTATTGAAGGTTATACAAAGGAGGCTAATAGGGACAGCTGTTTAACGGCCATCACTGCTCACCAGTACGTATTTGTCTTTTTCGGTTCGAATGCCTTCTTAACGTCAAACGTTAACATCTAGGACTGGCAAATGCTCCCATTCAATGTTATGAGCCATAACACGTGTGCTCAGCGGTATTGCTCTCTTGTCTACTCATCCCGTCGAAATTTTACTCGATTCGGTTTAGGCAGTCTGCCAGTCTTCCATCGGACATGAACAGTGTCATCAAACGCTGAAAACTCTTTGTGAGCAACTGGCAGATGCAGATGCTTTCGCTCTAGACAAACCCGTCCTCCGTAGGCTGTATCGCCCCACACTGACCTAAGTTCAGTGCATTTCAGTTTATACGAAGAAAATGTAGGTGTTGTACCTTCGAACTCGCTGTATGTTGCAAGGAATGAAAGTATACTAGAAAGTTGGGAACAGAAACCTCAAACAGCCACAGAAGAATTATCGGAGCTGTATAGATCAACTGATTAGTCCAAGTGCTAGAAACCTAACACTACTAAGCACGTTGTATAGCAACCTATACAAGATTGTGCTCTAGAAAAAAATACTACGATTTCAGTTATCTACATGCACCGGAGGGACTGTCAGTATCCGCTGACAATGGGTTTGGGACAAAAAGCTGAATAAATAAACGTTAAGGTCAGCCGAAATCAGGCTTACTGATACGTTTTATGGCGGTTTTCCAAATAAGGCTTACTTTGCTAATTATAACTTTCTCGGTTTCACGGTTTTTTGGATGGGATTCTTTAAGTGGTTGAGTACGAGGTGTCCTTCTTGTGCTTGATAAGTGTATAGGAGGACATCGTGACATATCAGCCGCTACGCTGATGTTCGTCTGGTGCCATTTGAACAAGAGGCAGAAGACGTTGAAGCTGATGCATTGCATGTGTTCACCACTATCATATGAACACTGGTTACCGCTGTCCCTCCGGAGGTTTGGTGGTGCTGGGTTGGGTTGACAGGACAACTGTCATATGAGCCATATTCAACGTTTTGATCTGGCACAGAGGGATAGAGAGTTCGGAATGAGTTAATCGCACATTTTGAGCTTGTGGATAATTACTTGGTAAGAATCAGCTGAGAACGACTTCTCATTTTTGCATCATAATTCTTGCCAATGAACTCGTCATCACAAAGGCTCCGTCCCAAGCTCTATTTAAAATTTTTCAAACTAACAAATATCCCATTAAGGGACTGAGATATTACACTACTCCACCACCACAGCTAAGAGAAAAACCCACTCCTTCGTTTTCCCGTGCACTGGGAGATATGCGTTTCGGCCAAAGTGGTCATCAAGCTTGCTCCATCGTTGTTCAGAGAAAACGCTCAGCTATAACTCGTGGTATTCGCAGTATATGACGGAGTCGCTACCAATTCATTGCGTCTCTGGCAAATGACAGTTATGTCCAGCGTTGCTGGCTTGCTGAATGCAGGAAGAATGCGGATTTTTCTGCCTCGTTGCCGCTTGAAGATGACGTTGCGTTCGATCGTCAGTCAGTCACTCTAACCTTATCGCTTGATCTGACAGATAGCCCTTTTTGTGTGTACCTGGGATTTTTGAATTCTTTTGACTTCGAAAGGAAATGATTGTTTCAAAACCCCAAATTTTGGGCATCGTTCAATTTTCCCCAAAATGTCGTTTCAGTACTTTTATTAGAGGGAAAGTTGGCTCACGGCACCGTCATCGCTGAATGTGTGATTCATATTTTCGGCGATTGTCTGTGATACTGATCACATCATGCTTAGAAGAGCAACTGTACCAACCGACCCTAACATGAGAAAGGAAGTATTTATGTATTCAGCCGAAAAAAATCAAATAACCACAAATTATCACCTACTAAATTAAACAATTCCTTTATTTATACTCTTAACGAAAATAAGATATCGACCGAAGTGAAATTTTAAATCCGCTTGTACATTGTCATTTGCGTATTCTGGCTCAATTATCTGTGTACTCGACCCGTCTGTAGACTTCAAGCTCTATATTCCCCTCAGTGTTGGTAATCTGCATCGTCCCATTCGAAACTGCTGCATGACCGGACTTACCAGAGAAAAGTCACCATTTCTGATAAATCCCGTTTTGGACAAAACAGACTTTCAGACGGTCAATTTATCTTGGTTTGGATAGTCGTAGTTCCAGTAGATTATGCGTTATACAAATATCGAATATGCAGGACTCCTGGTATCTATGTGGCCCACGAAAACAATTTTCCGTGGGCTGTCGAAGGCAAATTGTACCTACACTACTTTTCATGACCTTTGTCATACATCCCCACCGCAGTGGATACGTTAAATTCCTGTTGCCACGTCTTCAGCTAGTTTACCTGAACTAGAGTGACATTGGAAGACGGATTTATGGGTTATTCAATATACTTGAGTAAGTCTATTTGACCTATTCCTAAAATTTTCAAGTTCCCCGAATACATTTCCTACATTATTTGTGTGACAGTGTGTTTGTGACAAATGTCGAAGATGTAAAACTATCTCTGATTATAAGTCTGTTGGGCGTTTATTCGCAAGGCTTCAAGCATTGACGCTGGTAATACCTCTTTAGTACGCAGGAAATAATAAAATCTAAGTCAAAAAGCTCTTTGTCCCGCTGTGAGGTGTGCGATTTCCCACGCTGTAAGTTAGACACCGTTTGCTTATTGGAATTAAACTAGTGGAAATGTGTACACCATCTTCGCGATCCTGCAAGCACTGGTGCCACGCCCTTTTGCAGAAGGCGCATTTTATATCGCCCTGGCAATTAGCCCCATGGGTACTGAATTATCCAATTAGAGCGCGACTTTGCTAACGTAGTAAGGCTCCAGTTAAATTTAGAACTCGGCGATGGCATTCGTGATTTTTTCGGTGCACTAAGGGTAGATTCGGACCTTTGAAGGCGAATCATACTGTCACTTACTTGATACCCCTGAAACACTTTTCTTGTAATTTCAGGCGGACAGCAAGCATTTACGACTATGTGTAGGAGTCAGGACTATGTATTATGTTTGAGACCGTTTAACGGCCTTAGCACATAAATGCTGAGTGATCATAACATCCAGAGTTTGTGAGATCTAAAACGCCTGAAATGGGTAAACTGCAGTCGGGCGTAATTTAAATAAAGTAAATGACGTAATTTACCCTTTCTCAGAGCCTAGTACACCGGAACGAAGTGCCTCTCAGTGACTAAACAGTTTAAGGCACTGATTGATTTTCGATTTAAAAGTTGGGGATCAAATCCCAGATTGGACGATGATAGACCACAGAACAGCTACTCCAGTACCACTTGTCTTTTTAAACGCTCCACCGATGAGCCGCGGGCTCGTTGCCCTATTGGTTGTGATCAATAATATTAATTATGATGAAAGAGCGCTCGACTCAATGACCTAAGACCCCGGGTCCGAATCCCAGGTGGCCTACACTAAGGATGGGTATGACTGGCAGGTGGCGGCTAATAATCCGGAAATGGCCATTCCAGTCTCCCTTCTGGTCGTCGGTATTCCATCACATGCGGTTGCCTGGGGGCTCTAATTTGAGCACCAAGGCAACCGGGACGTGCCTGTCCCGTAAGTTGAGCAGTGAGCGCCACTTCATCACAATATAAATATATACATGTACTTGAAGATGGACATCGTAAGAAATATAATTCAAAAAATGAGTCCTTCGGAAAACTGAACAAACTTTATTTCGTAAATTTCCGACGTTGGTTCCCCAAGTTGTTGTCAAAAGTGAAGAAAGCGTGGAAAACAGTTCAAATTCAAGCATGCGCGAAAAATCAATATTGTTTTGTTAGGGCTGAGGATGGGTCGATGCTGTAGGCTGACGTCACGTTCTAATTGGCTATCAATTTTTCCACTGTTTTGGGATTTGTGTACATGGCGTCGAGACCGGTGCGTCGATTAATGCATGAAACATCAGAGTGAATGCTCTCTAAAAACTCGGGCCCTTCTTAAATGGGCGGACACCTATAATGCAAATCTTGTTCCATGCAAATTTCTGTTCAGTTTCCAGCGCATGCATCCCAACCTGGAACAAGTGGTCTCGCCTTCTTACTGCTAACTTGTGGTCGTGTATGTGTGTAAAGGCAGATTTCCCAGTTTTACCACAATATATCGCAATACTGAGTTCGCATGGTATCTCACAGACGACTTCCTTCTTATCTTAATAGCCAACCTATCTTTAGAGTGTACAAGCTGATTACGTAGCGTAGTCGTCAGTTTGTGCGCCACTTGTATTTGGTGCTTCCTCAGGTGTTTTTCAAAGAGTTCAGACACATTCTTAATGTACGGAAGTGTTCGCCAGTTTTTTTGGTTTGGGCGCTTGGTCGGAACAATTAAGTTCCTTATCTCTTTTGATTCCTTCTGTTTCATGCATCGGCGTAGAAACTCTCTGGGAGTTTGCTGTCAACTTCTTTTTCGAGCGCGAAGGTGATTCCCGGTATTGTTGGGCTGACAACGTTATGCAGCGTTTGCAGCTGACCTTTATTGACGATGACAAAGGTGTCGTCTACATAGCGTACCCTTAATTTGAGATTGAATAATGGTAGGGCCACACCCTCTAATTTCTGCATTGTGACCTCAGCCCGAAAGCCAGAAATAATTGACCACATTGGAGCTCCTTTCAGCTGTCGGCAATATTCATCTGCGAACGAAAAGTTTGTTTCCAGACATAAGTCCAAGAGTTCAAGCAAAGCAGATGCAGGAGCATCAATACCGCTGCATAACATTATCAACTCAACACTACCGGAAATCACATTCACGCTCGAAAAAGATGTTGACAGCAACCTCCCATTTCCTGACGTCGTCGTACTGCGAAAAACTGACGGGACATTCCAAACATCAGTATACCGCAAAGAAGCTTATGCAGAAGTTATCCTACACTACGAGAGCAAGTACCCTATTGTTCACAAACGTAGTGCTGTTAACACCCTAGTTAATCGGCCAATGATGCTGCTGAGAACGAAGGGTGCAAAATAGAACTCAGTTATGTGTTCAACGAATTTTCATAAAATGGTTACCCTACAGATTTTGTACGCCGATGCATGAAACAGCAGGAATCAAAAAAGATAAGGAATTAAATTGTTCCGACCAAGCGCCCAAACCAAAAAAAACTAGCGAACACTTCCGTACATTAAGAATGTGTCTGAACTCTTTGAAAAACACCTGAGGAAGCACCAAGTACAAGTGTCGCACCAACTGACGACTACGCTACGTAATCAGCTTGTACACTCTAAAGATAGGTTGGCTATTAAGATAAGAAGGAAGTCGTCTGTGAGATACCATGCGAACTCAGTATTGCGATATATTGTGGTAAAACTGGGAAATCTGCCTTTACACACATACACGACCACAAGTTAGCAGTAAGAAGGCGAGACCACTTGTTCCAGGTTAGCATGCATGCGCTGGAAACTGAATAGAGATTTGCATGGAACAAGACTTGCCTTATAGGTGTCCGCCCATCTAAGAAGGGCCCGAGTTTTTAGAGATCATTCATTCTGATAACACATGCATCAACCGACGCAAATAATTTGCTGCTGTGTAAAACAACTTCAAGTAAAAGTGCAAGAGACGTTGGCCAATCAGAGCATGCTGCCAGCCAACATTAAAGCTTGCATTGCACGGATGACAGGGAAAAGTCGGTTTTTAGGCATGTTTACTTTTCCTTACTGGTTTGCACATTTGCTTCACGTCTGAGGAATAAATGGGGGACCAAATTCAAAATTTGCAATTTAATTTGGTTATCCTTCCCAAAGGACTTTTTTCTTCCGAACTTTGCTTCTTGGGATGCCCATTTTCAAATCCATATGTTATATACATACATATGCTGATATGGGTGTGCCGACAAAGACATTGGAGCTCAGAATGGTTATATCTGGCTTAGTAGTCCTCGTCCAGATGGTTAGCAAGGCCGAGGAAATCCAGATGTATGCCGGCCGCAGTGAAACCAAAAAATTCTTTACATCGATCAACGTCGTCTTCGTCTTCCAGCCGACGGAAGCGCACAGCATTTCAGCTCCGATGGAACAAAGTCTCTGACTGAACAATCACAAATTCTGAAGCTCTGAGCCAAACACTTCCGAAGTGTCCTCAACCACCCATCTACAATCTCCAACGCCGCCATCGACCGACTTCCTCAAGTGGAAAGTAACAACTACCCGGATCTGCCGCCTTCTCTCCCAGAAAAAAGTCGGGCCGGGCACCAAATCTTCAGCGGCAAAGCATTGTGGTTTGATGCAACTCCGGTCCAAGTTCACAAATATGGCAGCCCACAGCTCAAAGGGTAACACACGGCGCTATTCCAGAGGATGTGGCTCAGAAGACAAGGTGCTCACAATTTCAAGGATGCGACAATCGTTCATCTCTATAAGCAGATAGGGAACCGGAAACGCTAATGCCCACAAACAGATCTCACCGTCCAACATCACGGGGAAAATCTTCGCTCGCACCGCATTCAACCGTCTACTCGGCCATCTTGAACAAGGACTACTCCCGGAAAACCACGCCATCACAAAACCCCCAACACCATCTTCGTCATCCGCTAGCTGCAAGAGAAGTATCAGTATCAGTATCAGTATCAGTTTATTAAGGGAAATATAGGCAAGCGCCTTTGAATTCCCTCTTGGTTACAAGTCCCAGGAAATTCGGACCCATCTCTACAATACCCATGTGGATCTGATGAAAGCCTTTGGCACGCTGTAGAAAAGTATGCAGAACGGCTCTCCCGAGCAATTCGCGCATGAGGTACGTAAGCGCCACGGTGGAATGATGGCGCCGGTCACGGACAACGGGGCCGTCTCAGAGGCATTTGCAGCGGCCAACGGAGTGAAGCAGAGCTGCGTACTCGCTCCCACCCTCTTCAGCCTCATGCTTTCTGCCATGCTTATGGACGCCTACCGTGATCCCCGGGATCCGCATCGCCTACATGGCGACGGACATCTTCTCAACAGCCCGCGCATGCAGGCCCCAGCGCGTCTCTATGCGACTACTATCTACAACATGCCCTTCGCTGGCTGACGACCGTCCACTCAACACCGAGATAGAAGCTGACATGAAACGGGGCATGGAACTCTTTGCCTCTGGCTGTGCCAACTTCGGGCTGAGCATCAGCACGGACAAAACGGTGGTCATGCATTAACCATCACCCAACACTGCGCACAGGGTTCCTCACATCCACGTCGACGGCGCCCAGCCGATGACCGTGGACAACTTCGCCTGCCTAGGTAGCACACTCTCACGCTGCATTAAAATTGACGACGAAGTGGCTCACAGGATCTCCAAAGCCAGCCAAGCCTTCTGCCGACTGCAAGGCTCCGTATGGAATCGCCACGATCTCCACCTGAACACCCAATTGAAGATATACAAAGCGCTCACATTGAACATTTTGCTGCATAGTGCAGAGATCTGTGAGAAACAAGCTCGGAAAGTCAATCATTTTCATCCCACCCGTCTCCGCCGGGTACTAATGCTGAGGTGGCAGAACAGGATCTGGGAAACAGAAGAAATCCTGGAATCCTCGGCATCCGCGCCATGCTGGGGCAAATGCCACTACGATGGAGCGATCACCTCGTGAGAATGGACGACGAGCGCTTACCAAAGCAACTCTTCTGTGGGGATGTCACCACAGGTGCTCGCTGACAAGGAGGTAAAACCCTCCAGTACAAGGACACCTTGAAGCATTCCTTGAAGCGTTTTTAGATCAATCTGAAAACTGGGGAATAACTCGCACAGTGCCGACCGGCCTAGAAAACAACAGTGAGGACAGAAGTAGCCATTCATGAAGCCAGCCAGATCATCGCTGTCCAAACTAAAAGGGAGGCTCACAAGTCTCAGGCGCCCTTGACCCGCAATGCCGACTCCCAACCCCCTCCCCCCAACATGCCCGCACTGTCAACGAACTTTCCGAGTTCGGATCAATCAACCAGCCGACAACCCCAGCCGCTGCCCCTCCTACCGTCCCTGCTCCACCCCCTACGGCATTCACTCCGGCGACCACCTCACCGCCGATGCTCAATATTCCCGTGCCCCGTCGCCGTCGGTCACCGCCATCCACATAATCCCTGCCACAATCGCCTCGGCGACCACCACAGCTCCCATTCCCAGCACCGAGCAAATCTCCCACGACGACCCATCAATCACCAACGGCGATGTGGACCCAGTTATAACCTGTCCCCGTTGCGATCGCATATCCACCTCACACATCGGCCTACTAGGTCACTTGCGAATTCATCGCTGTGCGACGGCAGCCGCAGTGCCAGAAGCCTCCACAACATTCACTGCATCCTCCGTCACTTTCAACAATGTCCACACACATTCATACACCGCCTGGGCCTATTCGGTCACATGCGCATCCATAGCAGCAGAATACCTCGCAGTACGACACACCTTGCGCATCAACCATCCCTCCTATCCCCATACTAATCAACTTCCCGTCGTCCAGCTCGTCCATCACTAGCAGCATCACAACGAAAAGCGGTCCTAAACCCCCTCAACCTATCGAACCTAATGGAATCCGAGCCGGTTGTGCGGGCACACTTAAGGTTGACTCCCGCTGCGCCAGTCGTCGCTCTTGCTTTCTTGGAATTTAAAATCCTAGTCGTTGTATGTTGTAGACCAGGGGTTGTGGAGTGCCCACGTTGTCATCGCACGTTCACCCCACACATAGGTCCGATCCGTCACTTGCGAATCCATCGCACTGAGCCTTGTGGACTAGTGCCTTGAGTACCAACATATACCAGGCGCCATCGCCTAAATAGCTCGCGCTGCCCTCGCACATTCGGCCATCGCATGAACCTATTAAATCACACGCACCTCCAGGAAAACCTGCGGTAGAATATCGCCGGCTATACCATGCTATCATATTTCTCTTCACCAGCACCTAAAACAACCATAACCACACCCAGCATCGCATAATATTAGCTCGTAACTAATACCTCCCACGTAAGTAGAAGGCGCGTTTTCGAACTCCTCAATCTGGCTCCTCTGATACATGTGCGATCTGACTCTGAGACTATCACGGTGCCCAAGGCGCCGTGGCTTGGAAGATTGCCAACTGACAATGGAACTCAGACCTCGCAGTCAGCCTAGTGTGTGTTTATGTAGAGTGGACTGAGAGTCTGAGCGAAATGGATCCTTCTTAATGTGGTCTCTGTGGCACTCCCTCTCCATGGGATCCGAGCAACCCCCCTCTGCTCTTGTTGTGTAAAATTCTGGTAGGTGTGCTTTGTGGACCAGAGGGTGTGGTGGTACACTCATTTGCGCGTTTACGCCGTGCAAGCCACCCGTGTCCTCTCCCGCCTCCGTTCGTCTTGACTCTACCTTGACACCTGGTTCAGGTGGGGGGGGGGGGGAGGAGTGCGGTAGATTCTGTGAAATTCTACTACCGCTTCAAGCTACAGTGAGTGGCTGAAATTCTGGAATGCGTTTTCGATTAGGAAGAATTACTTAGGCGCGGTTGTAAAACTGATTATATTGCGGCATAATCCTATAGTGGTTCGGACTCGGCAGGATGTCAGCTTTTGAATTCACTGCTTTTCTATTTCCTGTAGAAACTGTACTCGGTAAAAATGGCTACTTAAGTAGCATGCATTTTTCCCACTGATTTTCGATGGTCTTGCAAATTTAAATATATTTTATGGAAACCACGAAAAAAATATGGTTTTCATCAGTCGTTTGATAGAGAATTACGTCATATTCGTAGTTTATACTCGATGAAGAAGTATTACTAGGTTTTAAAAAGTTTCTAATCATGAAATTTTTTAAGACTGTGCAATGTCCATTCATACGCCATCGTACCAGTCCGTTTACCGCTGCTCCTCATGATATGTACAGCATGGTCCGCATCCACTGAAACATTCTATGGACTTCATGATATCTTTTTAGAGGCATAAAAGAATAGGTAATTTTCTTTACGCGGAACGCATGCATCTTGTAGACTGAAATCACAAAGCGCCAAAGCAACGAATGATCAGGCGGCAAATTATTCGGGACTTAGGAAATTTTTCAAAACCTAATTATACTCCTTCTTCGAGTATAAAATATGAAGATGACGTAATTCTCTTTCAAACGACTGACGAAAAGCATATTTTTTTCGTGGTTTCTATAAAATATATTTAAATTTACAAGCCCATCGAAAATCAATGTGAAAAATGCATGCTGCTTAAGTAATCATCTTTTACCGAGTACGCTTTCTATAGAAAATAGGAAAGCAGTGCATTCAAAAGCTGACATCCTGCCGAGTCCGAAACATTATAGGATTTTGCCGCAAGATAATCAGTATTAAAACCGCGCCTAAGTAATCCTTCCTAATTGAAAACGCATTCCTGAATTTCAGCCAACATTTCATGAGATCGGTCACTAACTGTAATTCACGCGCTAGTCACCATGACTGCTCCCCCTGCTTAAGAGTACACGATGGACAACGACAGCCGACAGCGACTGTCGAACCGTCAGTTGTCGTCCGGCCAGCCTCACTCGACTCTAGGCTCGCGACGCCTAGGTTTCGAATTCGTTTTCTTCGGGCATCGGACCTTAGTCGGGTTCAGTTGTGATTGGGGGTATTAATGATGGTAAGAGGGCGCTCATCGACCTGGTTACAAGACATGCTCCGCGCACGAATAATCGTTTGCTTGTTCGTCGCGGGCGGCGATGCTCAACGCTGGCCCCCATCGGTGCCCAACAGTCGCGATGTCGGCATGTGTTCTTTTATAGTGAAGTCAACTTTCATCGCCTCTGGCTCACTCGTTCCTCCTAATGCCGAAATAACCTCGAGGAACTCGGAGGTTCGTGAGGACTCGGCACTCGGCAAACGTAATGAGCTCTCCTATGCGCACCAAAAAGGGACCTAGCTTTTAACGACAGGCGCTTTCAGTATCGGGGACTTGTGGCTCGCATGAGTTAAGATTCCATAAAGGCCACATTGAGAAGGAGCCATTGCAGCCTGACTCTTAGTCCTGAGAAAGAATGAGTTTTCCCATCAGTTGGCGGAGGTCCAAGTCACGACTATCAGCGGATCATGATAGATTCAAGCGTCTTGTATTTGTTATAGCGAAGAATGCTCTGCTGTGTCGTGAATATGGATTTTTCGGTGTTGATCTCACTCTCCTATTTTCCATGCACCTTTCTAGTCGACCGCCCAAACCTATGAAATCCTATGTCCAGGGCTTACCGCACGCATATACAACAGTATGTTCGATTCGATGCTGACTCTGCGCATTCCGAAAAACTCATACCTTGAACCAGCCTGACCCTGTTTTAGTCCAGCACGTCTTCAATGCAGTCCGTTTTTGGAGCAAAATTATGCATGCACTGGACACTGGACACACATTTGCGCTGGGGAAAAGTCGCTTCATTGGCACCTGCCCAGCAAAAGAAAGGTCATGAATGCCTAAAGGCGGTGCGCTGAGATGAGATGTGCATCGATAGGCATACGGATTTTACTGTCACGTACAAAAATCTCAAACACGCGTAGAGACTAACTCAGCCAACCAGGTGTCGGGATGCAATGGACGCCTATTGGTGCAAACTTTTCGCTTCTCATAGAATTCTTTGTTAGCTACGATTAGGAAGAAAACTATGAACAACGAACGCACCTCCCACGAGAAAGAGAGCTGTTTTTTAACACTACCAGTATGTCTGTCGATGCGGTTGCCAAACAGTCTCGTAAATCTAAACTATATCCCTCTTCCTAGCACACAATAAAGTTGTACTGAGAATAATATTAACTACGAAGTCAGCCATCCTGCGATTCATTATATAGGTGATTATTTTCCACCATGCTTTTCACTACTCCTCCGGGGATTATCTAATCACAAGCTGGCTTAAGTTAATTGGTTATTTCCAATTTAACGGACGTCAAATCAGCTTTTGGGGGAAAATATCTGAGACATCAGAAACAGTCACAAGTTCCCAGCCCTACGGCAATAATGCTGCCATGGAACTTCTGCTCTATGCCTTTTGTGCGAGAAATCATTAAAGCTATCGTACGGCAGCTGAAGGACTTTGTTATGCGAATAGCCCGCAACTCTGCATCCTAAAGTAAATGGTCCCATATTTAGAGGACCGTAATCGAACGCCTTTCACCAATATTCCACACGTTCAACGTTATTTCACTTACGGTGGCCATACAGGCTGGCGATTTGAGACTTACGACAACTGGTAAAAGTCAGCTGCTCGTCGGCGTGCATTCTGTTCCTGATTTTTGTCAAATAATCCTGAAAGCGATTACCACCTCAATTGAGGGACAGCGGAATTGTTGACCATACTAGTAATGTTAAAAAATTTCGGGAGGCCTGTACTCTAACGCGGATTCCACTTCCGGGGCATGTAAACCAGGGGTGTGCACTACTGCGAGAGCCCGCCCGAACTTCTGATTGATCCTGTGCGTCCATCCTAAAGCAGAAACAGCCAGCCCGCGTCTAACAATCAGAAATCGCACTCTCTGGCCATTCTCCGTCCGTCTTTGTCGTATCGCTGTGTCCCTCTCCTGTCCCCCGGTCGTTCGTACCGCCTGAGTATCATTCATATACCTAAAATTCACCGTGCTCTTATCAAATCTTCTCATTGTTTGTTTGACGACGGATTGATCCCACTAACTCGAAAATTGATGATTACAGCTCTATTCGTCCGCAACGCCTCCTCAGGGATATTATTACAGACGGCTCGTTTTAACTTCCTAGCGCAGACCACGAGCAGATGGTCACGTACCAGGTCGCAAAGCAAACAAACGAAAAATAAAGAGACGAGTCCCAGGAAGCAGTCGTGAAGAAGGAGACACGACCGCTGAAACAAGAGTTTTATTCACCTGACGTTTCGGATTCCTGCTTGAACCCATCATCAAAGGCGAAAGCATCTGTATCTGCTTTTGTCCCTGATGATGCGTTTGAACAGGCATTCAAAACGTCAAGCGAATAAAGCCCTTGCCCCAGTGATCGTGTCTCCTTCACAAAACGAAAAGTAAACTGACAAAAGCACGAGAAAACTGAGACATCAAATGTTTCGCATGATCTCTGCCGATCGTTGGAACAGGTTCGCTCTGGGACACTAAGGAGACACGCAGGCGCCTATCTCTGTGGGAATACAATCCCAATCTAACCCAACAGATACTTACCAGGGGTTAGACATTGATTGAATTAGAGTCGGCGTTGCTGACGACGCATTAGTTAAATGTAGTCTGTGGATCATTCGCGCAGTGAGATTCCGTAAATTTATATCGCAAATGTCACATTTTGTCCTCGGGTGCTTCCAACTAAAGATAGCATGGATGAATCCGAACCGGGTACTTCCTTAACCTCTTAGCGTCGCTTCTTGTCTTTTCCTGCATAGAGAGTCAGACAAAAATGGGCGAGAACGGATTCGTTGAATTCTCATACCAAACAAGTTGCGTATAGCGTGACTGGGGTCACGAACAGATCATCCCGTACACAGGTGGCCCGTTCTGCCGTTATTCAAGGCGAATTGAATAACGGGGGAATAGGCCAGAAAAACATCCGCCCCGATATCCTCCCATCTCTGTGGTATCCCACGCATGTGCATTCGAACTCTACTTTTGTGGTCCCGTTGTGAAGGTTAATAGCCTTTTCCTGAAGTGGATATTTTGCGATCCTGTGCTATCAGAAACGTCGATAATTCAACTGGCTACCCTAATCCGAGCTTTCCGAATGGAATTAAATCTCACTGACTTTATTCTAGCACAGTCATGAAGACACCTCTATGCCTCTGTACTCGTCGCCAAAATATTCGATGCCACTCAGTAGGGGAAGTTCTCCTGCCTGCCTAGCGCTATTTCTGCCTCTAACTTGAGCTTATCGACACCCTCACTGTACCTCAAGTGGACGTGGTTCCTGGACTTGCGGAACATGCGAAGTCGCAGTCATAGCGCGAGTAACCCTACTTAACTCCACAGCCTTACAGTATCACCTCCTCAGACCATTTCTTGTGGCCAGTAACGTTGCCATTGTGCAGGATGTGGAGAGCGGTCAACAGCCCTCCTCGTCACTTTCCGATAAATGCTTCGCATAAACGTCCTATATTTATCTCAAAACTGAGTCACGTTAGGCTAACAGTTAATACTGATCGGCCCGCCAAAATGATTTTATCGTTGGCCTGTTTGCTCGAACATTTATTGGTTGTCGGAAAACGAGAATATCTCGGGTGTATAGCTAGTTGCTTTACTTTAATTCGATCTTGCAGAATCCAGGTCTTGTCCCCTGCTACAGGCCACCACCAAAATATGTTTCAGTGGGTGTTACATGGCCCAAAAATCTCTGGACCTCGGATCTGTACTTCATTTCATGTTTCATCATTACCGGTACCCAATGCCTGCAGATTTTGTTCATGGCAAACAAATTCAGCTCAGCCGCAATCCATGCCCACAGCGCTAAGCGTCTGGCACGACACCATGTGATCCGCCATCACAGTGCACTCCACAATTTCAACGCCTTTTAGAGTTACTGATGTTGCTGGCCTGTCAGACTTAGAGCCGACTTCAGCAGACCTCTTTTTGACACAAATTTCGATAATTGCCTTCTTGACAGTTAAATATGAAGACAGCTTTGTGTACAAGTAATTCATAAGGGAGATTATTCCCAAGGTCATGATCCTCTTGAAAGTCAAGAGTTCAAAATAATACTTTGCTCACCCCTGCTCCGTTTGTTTCCGGTGTTAACGATAACTTATTTTTGAACATCAAGCCTATACAGTATGTTATTAATAGTTTAGGAGCATGGTTTGCAGGCTTTACTACATAATTGTATGCGTTTAAATCAGTAAGCTTTACAGCTATTGTACTGTTCTTTCAAGAACTCACGCATGTTTATTCCGGTTCCAAGGACTTCTCTTTTTGCGTATTGATAAGGTACACAGCTGCAAAATGGAAAAATCTTGTCTGAAGATTTAAACTTCGCCACTTATGTCGAATTTTTGAGGAAGTTTTATGTGCCTCCTTAACCCTATTTCACCCCTCCCACAGTCATAGATGCAGAAAGAGTGCAGACTCCATCGACACCGACTCTAACGCAAGGAGACCAGTTAAATCGAATCAAGTTAATCCGAAAGCGCAACAAAAATCGCCATGTCAACGGCGACTTTCGCGTAGACGGAGAAGAAGTTCTAGGCACGCTGGCCAGTTCCTATCCTCGTAGCCGCATGGTAGGTGTTCATCCGGACAATGAAGACGAGGAGGTCGTTCAGGCCTATGATCTTGCTGTCCTCTCCCACGATTGTGATGACAGTAGCGAAGACAATGACGGGGTTCTCCAACCACACGAGTCGCCGACGATACCCCTCAATAAGCTATCTCCAACTCCTCATCAGGACCGTGGTCGAGAATTCGAGGAACGCCCGTTCCACAATAATCTACCACAAGGGTGAGGCCTTCCCATATCCTCTTTTAGTGGATGTTCGTTTTGGGCAGTTTTATGATTATCATGTTGCATCTTTTGTTTGCGTTGCAGAATGTCTCATTCAATGATTAGTTCGCCAAACCATCTCGGATTTTTTCGATTTTCCCCTTTGCATTCACTCTAAGCTTAAACGGGCTGCGCGCATGGAGTCTTATGCCTTCACGTTGGTTAATTAATACAACGAGAGAAGGCGACTTCGAGGACCCAACACATGAATGAACAGCGGTCGAAAATAGATGGCAGCAAAAAAATATAAAAATTTGTGGCATACTGGATCTTAGCTCTAATTGCCCCTATGTAACAACTCGTAACCTTGTAGGGTGCTCTTGCATTATCATCGATAGACAACTCTATCGCAACCGTCCGAGATAATAATAATATTATCCAGCCAAATTTATTATTTTTGACTTAATATAAGAGGAATTTTGGGATACCCGACGACAGCCGGTCCTGTTGAACTTAACACTTGAGTATTCACGCCACAGTAACGGATTTTCTTGTTTTAAAGCTCGGTATTGTTAACCAAAAGCGAACGTTTAGTCGACCATTTAACACTTAGAGTCCGATCCACTTGAGCAACGACTTCGTCCTTACATTATCATAGTTCACTGACATATGAGTAAATTATGGGATACCGATGGGTTCACTAATATCCAGGGTCATTGCCAAGGCGGTTAGGAAAAAACTCGAGAAGAGTACAAACGCAAGTTTTGGGCGCGCTACGTTGAAGTTACCTTCTTAGTCATCGATCGGAATAAGATTAACTATTACGGGAGCAACTGAACTCAATCATTTCCGGCCTACAGTTCACGATAGAAGAGAAGGTGAAGGACAAACCGCCATTCTTGGATGTTCTTGTCTGCCGCTAACCAGACGGCAAACTGGCGACGTCAGTTTACAGAAAATCAGCGAACACACTGCAAGTACTCAATAACAACAACAACCACTTACTTCAACACAGACGAAGCCATGTGCGCACACTATACCGACGAGCGGAAACTCGTTGCAGCACGCCAGCAGCCAAACTTAACGAGATGAAGCTCCTCCAAGGACTCTTCAGAGCCAACGGCTATCCGCGGGCATTCGATGAACGGAGCCGAAGACAACAAAGGAAGCGGAGTGAAGAACACAGTCAGCCAAAATCGTGGCGGAGCATTCCGTACGTGAAGGATTTCTCCGAAACCATGGCTAGATCCCTCGTGCCATTCAGAATAAGAGTTCCTCACAGGCCTGACTCAACAATCCACCAGCAAGTGACGCGGCCAAAAGACCCGATCTCTATGCAGGAGATGTCGGCCGTTGTATACCGACTTCAGTGCAGTTACGGGATGTGCAACTACGTTGGTGAAACCGGCCGACGACTGCAAACGCGAACGCACGAGTAAAGGTTGGCTGTGCGAAGATTAGACCGAAAGTCGGAGGTAGCAACCCATGTCGCACAAATGGGACACATCTTCAACTTTGAGACCGTTGAGATTTTGGGCCGAGGCGATGATCATATGTAAAGGCAGGTGCAAGAAGCCTGGATGTCCACCGACTGCTCTGTCAACCGCCACATCAATTTGCCTCCCCCCCCCTTGACGGGGAGTAGTTACGGCGTGGGACAATCGCACCGTCAACTATTTCCTCCGCCGACCAGAGCGGGGGCGATTCGGGTCATGGTGACATGCGGGTCGGATGCAGCCACACAGGCGGCATTGTTGAACCACGCGCCAAACAAAGTGGTCTATATAAGGAGTGCTGTGCGTATAACTTCCTAGTCTCTGAAGATGGGTAGACGAAGCAACTACTCGAAACGTCAGACCTTTAATAAACTCCTCCCGGTGAACGCTTCGTCTCCTTTTGTTATGTCATCTGGCAATCTCAATTTCATTACTATTCATATGAACCTCTATTAGGAAGCTGATGTCCACCACGCCCAACACACTTTGCAGTTCTGGAGAGACACAATTGCATCCTATTATTTATTTTGATGACTGTGGGAAGACACAAGTAGGCCATAAATATCCTCTGCGAATGGGTAGTCGAACCTGCCGTCATCCATACAAGCCCGCAGGTTAACTACTTATTTGAAGAAAAATGTTTTTACCGTATTATTTGACGGAACTCGAATTCTCACACTTCTGGTTTGTAGCCATATCCCTTTAACAATTGTATTCCAAAGGACTCTCGTTTTTGTCTGATGGAACTGGAAGTATTTACCAGTCCCTATTTTTCGAGCTGAATGAACGATACTTATGTACGTGCGTTATTTTATAAGCGTTATCAGGCTGGTTTTCATCCGGAAGGAGAAACGGCGCGGTGCCTTTGTTTCAGTTAGGAGGATTCAGGGGATTCAGCAAACGCTTACCTAAGGTGCTACCTGTTCTCTTTCCCCAATTTCCGCCCTGATACCTATTTACCATAGAAATGCACAAGCCGGATAATACTGTACCGAAAAGTATCTTTGTTTCATTTGACGGATTTTGAACTCTGCATACTTCTGTTGAATGGGCATATCGCAGTTGGTATTGTCCCTGGCACTTGTGTTAATCGCTTTTGCAAAGTAATTGCTATACTGTGAAAACGCTCTTGACAAAAGTAAGTCATACCTGCGGTCTTCCGGCTAAAGAATTCTTCCGAGAATACATCCAGTCGTGGCGGAAGTTGAGTTTTATTTGTATGCCGTATAGTGTTTGGACGATGTTCAAGATGTCTTCAGTTCTCAAATTCAGTCCCTGACTAGAGACTCCTGAACGGCGTTAGGTTCGTTGAAGCTTTCGCTTCTGCGTCGAAAGAATTTTAAAATGCAGGTCAAATAACCAAACTTGTTTTCTGCTTTTGATAAAGACTGTTTCTTTGAGTACGGGACTAACCTCGGCAAGGATTTATTTAATATTCAAAGTTTTATACGTTTCCTTCTACCAAGTCAAACATACCGCCAGCCGTCTTGTCCCTCGTATTTAAGTAGGTTAGTAATATCCTATAGGACGGTGGCACATTTCTGTTTTAATAGAAATCCAGGGAATCTTTTGCTTGGTGATAAGGACGTTTTAAGGCCCCCTTCTATCACAATAACGTTAACAATTATGTCGTCCTCAGAGTGTAACACCTAACAGTCCCCTAGAGTACAATTCGCTTTGGCGTCAATCAGGCCTTAGCTGCGTCAATGGTAAGGGTGATTCCTTTATTTGTCTAAAAGTGCGCGCGGTAGTGATTAGCAGGCATAGAGATTGAAAGCCTACGGAGTAATTTGCGAGTTCTCTTTGAGACCTACTAGGAATGCGAACATATGGAAGCGATTAATTTACGACAAAAATATGGACTGACGGCTCACCGAACTATAGGGTATATTAATAAAATTAAAGACTGGTGCCAGATCTGTCTGCTAAAAGCCATTAAGCCTGATATTTATGCTCTCATTTCGTGATGTGGCACTGCAACCTACGCCGCCCTAATAAAGGGACTTGCTACAGCATTTAGTTCAAAAAGAAGTCAAATCTCACCTGTGTTGTTTTACTTCTTGCATTTTCCAAACACTTATCGTCACGTGGAGGCCAAGTGCTTGACTTACTACTTACATGGGGGGGAGGGGAGAGAGTCTTATCAGACAGTCGTGTCTCCGCAAAATATGAAGACTTTCGACTCGAAAAACCTGTGATCGTTTTGAGGCTAAGGTAAATTTCACACTATCATATGTTTTTTTCTAGGAGTTGGGAACATCTACGTTGTGTCTTCGGTTTGCCAAACTGTACTATAAGGCTAACAGGACTGGTTTCTGAGATGTTATCTTATAGCATGCATTACCTTAGCCTCATCGATTCCAAGCCAGTGTTTGTAAGTCCACAGTACTGATAGGAAAAAAGTGAATTTGTGATATAGTTTAAGAAATCAACCGGAAGTATGGTTTCTGGGTAACTGAATTTTGGACATGACTCCCTTAGCAGAAGGAAACGTTCGGTCGTTGTACTTGTATGCATCGTTCCTGCAGACCAAGTTTTAGTTCGGTTTGGTAGTTTGCCACGAATTCACTTACCACTCGGTGTCTAAGCATATTTAGCGTGGTCTTGAAACAAAGGGACAAACACCGTTTGAATGAGAAAGTCACAGCAGTTTTTGTGAAAGAGGGTAAAGGGGCCACCTTTAGTAACTTTGCCGCTTACGCACCTTGTCAGGATCACGATCGGGTGTTAAGTACCAAGTAGGTAAACAGGTCCAAATCTCTAACGACTGCTCTTTCTACTAAAAATATGGTTAGTTCCTTACCACCTGTAATTTACTTCAAAACCTTTCTGGCATCGACTTTCATTGTGGATCAAAAAGCGTGGCTTCCATAGGCAAGTTTTTGAAATATCTGATGCTCCTCGCTGGACGTTTGCCACAGCCGACTTGCATTACGAGGCAGGAAGCAGTAAGCATCGACCGATTCTCAAATCTGATGGGTATTGGTGCGAGAGTTCGGGTATGGATCTTCCTCCACGAATCTGGGGAATCGTGTAACAGCAAACGTTTTTTACTGGGTTTGCTCCTTCTTTGTCGTAATTTGGCTTGCCAGTCGTTTTACTTCTAGCTGAATCATTACTTTCTGAAGTGGATGGATGTTAATTGTCCCCGAATCACTTATAAGCCATGTAACTTCGCATAACTTAAACTTCTATGTAACCCTTTTGGCCTGATGAAGAGTTACCGAAAACGCGTGTTCGCCAAATTGACTTTTCAATTGTAACATGGGGATATTCGCTGAACTTTCTGAAATATTAAGCATGTTATTCGCAAGTCAATATGGAGAAGCGAAGTTCCTTCATGAAAAACCAGATACATACGTGAGTAATAGCTTTCGCTCCTACAAAACATTGCAATTAGGATGACATCGTCTTACCTTTTAAGTTCTTTTCGTGATTACTCTTATCAGAATTAGCCTCGGTAATGGTTTCTTGAAGTTAACCCTCCGTAATTGGATTTTGGTGCCGTTCTTCTTCTGCCCGTTATTTCTTAGATAAAAGACGGACTGAGGAACACGTTTTAAATACTGTTTGGAAAACCTAGGAGGCAGCGAACCACAATTTGGATTTCGAATATGTATAGTAGGTGGGCTAACTCATGAACTGTCAACCGAAATTCCGAAATGCGTTTTCTTTTTGAACAGATTAATTAAGTAACGTTTTAAAGGTAGTTAGCCTGCAACATAATTCTATAATATTTCATTTACCATAGGATGCCGGCTTTCGAATGAACTTCCTTCCGGCTGCATGCAAAGATTACACTCTGTAAAAATGAGTACTTAATTAGCATTTTTCTCATTGATTTTCGATGCCCCTGAATGTCCAATTATATTTCATGGGATACATGCAAAGGAATATTCATTCTTTTTCCCATTCGGTAGAAAATCATGTCTTCTTCCAAGCTTATACTCGAAGGAAGGGTATAATTCGCGTTTTAAAAACTTTCCATTCCCGAGTAATTTTGAACCTACTCCACCTTCACACTTGGATTCGGGGTTTCCAAACTACAAGCCGTATATTTTCCGCGTACGGAAAACCACACATTTCTCTGCGGTACTAAAGGGGACCCCAAAAGGGGGCTCATAAAATTAGACAGTGGATTTGATCCATATTGTTAATTTTACAAGCCACATTGGTAAATGCAGAGATATGACGATTTATGAACGGTCATTTCACGGTATTTAAAAGTCCCACAATTATTAACTTCTTTAAAACCGAATTATGTCCCTCCTTCAAGTATAAAAATAGAAGAAGACGTAATTATCTACCGAATGAGCAAAATAATGGATATTTTTAGGCATGTTTCCATGAAATATAATTGAACGCTTAGGGGCATCGAAAATCAATGAGAAAAATGCATGCTTATTATGTAGTCATTTTTTACAAAGTATAGTTTTTGCAGGAAGGAAGTTCATTCGAAAGCCGGAATCCTGTGATAAATGAAATATTGTAGAAGTATGTTGCAGGCTGACTACCTTTGCAACCCTACTTAATTAATCTTTTCGAAAATAAAACACATTTCGGAATTTCGGTTGACGTTTCATGAGTTAGCCCACCTACTGTATATTTAAAAATAAGTCCAAGTATTTGCAAAGGAAATAGACCATGTATTTCTTAAATCCCGGGGACTAGTTCCTCAGTTAGTTGTTAAACTGATTGGCTGTATACAACGTCAGCCAACTATTAAATAATGTCTAACAAGAAAGTTTACACCAATACACGCCAATCATAGTCCGTAAACTGGTCGGGATTGGCTGCATTTGTTTTCACGTGTGTTCGAGATTTTCGTACGTAGCATTTAAATCGGCACGCCTATTGTTGCATATCTCATCTCAGCATTCCCTCCGAGAATTCGCAGCCTTTTCTTGCCATTTAAAAGTGAACGTTGTGAGTTTTTTTCGTGTTTCCCTATGGGGGTTATATGGCTGTCTCCTCACAACTGGGTGATTTGCATACACACGGGTGGAGGCAGGTCTTTCGGTTTGACCACAATAAACTGATACATGGAATTATGTAAAGAAAGCTTTTTTCTGTCGGCCTAGTTAATCCTGTCAGTAGGGGTGTAGAAGCCTAGTGATTAACGCAGTTGGTTTGTGCGCCACCTCTATCTGATATTTGGTCAGTCCTGATACACTACGCGTATGGGAGAATTCACCAGATTGTCGATTATAAAAATGTCTTTTTGGACTTTTAACGCTTCACGCCCTGTTTCATTATGCAGGACGTTACCAATTTCGGCAAAATTATTCCATGAAGGTACTTTCTTCCTATTTTCTGACTTCGTGGTAGCAGCAAGTTTCAGCCTTATTTAGCAGGCCGCTGACAGAACTCTGTTTTTGAGAGGCAGGGTGGAGGCACAGGCGCGTAACAGGGCCATATTTCCTACGTCCTGACTTTTCGAAATCATGCAAACCCCCGTCAAGTTAAATGTAGCACCCCGCCTCGCGTCATTTAAGGGTAGCGTTGTTTCCAGGGCTGCCTGCGCGGGTCGCACTGCGGGGAGGGTGGTCGTTGTCATGATGACAAATATCATTCCCTTCTGGTACTGTCGCCTGGGCATAAGCGACCACGGATGTCGTCTGCGTTGTTCGTAATTGTCCTCCAAGTTGCGTTTGCACTCGGTCGCACCCGTGTACTCAGTGGGCGTTAAGCTGTTACCGATGGCTTAGTTCATATTTCAGAAGCAATCTCCGTCATTGGTGTTCGCGTAAGACCTGCACTGAAGCCAAATAAATTTCGTGAATTCGAATTTTCAAATGCCCCTCCCTCTGCCTCCTAATGATATACACACATATATATACAACAGGACGAGTATGTCCCGTAAAGCGATCAGTGAGCCGTTCCTACCATATTTAATATATCCGATCGCAACCGATAGAACAACGAGCCGGTGGCTTAGTGGTAAGAGGATTGGACTAATGACAAAAAGAACACGGGTTAGAGCCTCAGGTGCCTTCAAAATTGCGGTTGGGCAAGACTGTCTGATGAACGACAATAAGTCAGAAACGGCCATCCGGGTCCACCTTGTCTTTGTCGGCAGCCCCTTGTCCGCAAAGTAGTCCAATTTACTCCGCCACCTCGTATCAATCAACACTGAAGTATTGTCCCCGTCGACTGATATTTCAACAATTTTTGTATCAAGTTATGTGTGAATGCAGGTCTATTGATTTTGATTCGTGTTTGACTTGTTTCAACGCAGTCCGTAAGCAGAAGAGTAGAATTTGGTCATTGTAAGCATTACTTTATTCATTCATCTGCTCTCGTTTACACCCAGGCGCATCATTAGACATGGGACAAACTGACTTTTCTAGCTGACTTCCGGTCGATCTTTCCTCATCGCAAGATTGCCGTTGGCGGCCTCATAGGTAGGATCTACGTTGACTGAGCGTCTGGTTAGCTGGCCAAATACTGTGGCATTGTTAATAATTGTCTGGCAAATCTGGAGAAAGTCAAAGATAAGAAGACGAAAATTTTAAAAAATGTGCAGCTTAATTTAAAGGCAAGAGGAAGTGTACAAAATATTTAAAGATCCTTGGACAGCTGGTAAGGGAACAAGAAAAACTTAACGTCATTCCTGATTGCTACATAAGTGAATAGTGATGAACTTTACCAAGAGACAGGCTTCCCCTAAACATCTAAACGCCAGTCATATGCGTTACCACCCGTATGCTACACATGCGTCCTTGACAAAACTATCAGATTTATGGATTTTTATTTAAGAGGCACATCACAGTGACGTGCATTTGCAATTGCTGGTTGGCGACGGTTTGGCCGTCGTTGCCGACGGTTTCCAGCGTGTGCCTCACAGTAGGTTTGGCGCAGTGGCAGTGACCTGCGCGTGAATTCGTTTATAGTAATGGTGGGCTTGCGAAGCGTCTACCTCACTCTCTCCTAATCCACCTGGATCCAGCACAATGACAGAGTCAAGAGAGCCAGAAGGGGGAGAGTGGACTGGTGGCTGGCACAGCGAAAACACACACCTTGGCGCGGGCCCCAACATCGGCTCGGATCCCGCTGAGTAGAAGTGCCATAGGGGCCACATTAAGAAGAAGCCATTGCAGTCTGACTCTCAGTCCACCAGTCGACCATACCACACAGACGCACACTGAGTTGACCGCGACGTCTGAGCTGAATAGTAATTTGGTAATCCTTAAAGCTACGACTTTTAGTGATGGTTCCAAGCTTGGCAGATTGTTTATAATGATGAATATGCGTCGGGAGTCGGCCTCACACTCTCTTCCCTCTGCAATGCACCACTTTAGTGTCCGAGCCGGTCAACCAACTGATGCTGGCATTGGACGCAGTGACTGATTCAGAGCGAAATATAGGAGACGAAGTCATACCTGGGAGCTCGAGTGCTTAGCCCAAACAGGCGGCGGCATGGTAACGGAATGGAAAGTTTTACTGACAGAGTCAATGGAGAGTAAAATATGAATTTTGACCTGTTTGCCGTCACCAATCAGCTTGGAAATGAAAATGATCACCCCAGTCTCCGTTCTACTGTCCCTTATGCTTCGATACCGTTGGATACCCTTCACTATGTGACTACCTCCGTCGGCCCTAAACTGAAGCTCCCAGACAAAACGGGTTTGTTCGTGCTCGCTCCTGCAGTCTGGGTGGCAACCATTCCTACGTAAATTGTAGTGTCCCTGATCGCTCCCGAGAGTACGCTCGCTGTTAGTTTAATGGTAGTCTGCTTGACTTAGCGCCTAGTGACAAAAGTTCTTGGTTTTCAGTCCAGGAGAGCCCGTCGCAAGGTAGAGGTACGGCTGTCTCACGACAGCAAATGAAACAGAAATGCTCAGTCCGTTCTCTGTTATGTAAAGTGACGCTACTTCTATGTCATTTTTTCTAAAAGACCTGCTTACCAGTTAGATCATCAGCCGTTTGTACTGAAGGATCTCGTTATCCACGTATTTAATGATTTTTACTTCAGTTTCACTATCCGATTTGCGCTCCCCTAGTTGGCCAATTCGGTTTTGCATTCCGGGGATGAACACAATCCGTTCTGGCCACAACCTCATGAGTATCTTGCTAATACAGAAAGCACTTGCCGTGCAGTGTGACGAAAGGCCACGTGGTATCTTTCTTATTACTTTTATAATGACTTTCAGACAATTCTTGGGATCTGTTTGTGGCATTCTGGTCGGACACGGATATATGTACTTCCCTGAACTATGACCGAAGATCATCTGTGATATTGGAATGGTGGTAGTAGTAACCTTTTAGGTGATAAAGCTTGATGTTCTTAAATGTTTAGTATATATAGGCAGAATGGCATTACCGACAAAGACAAAGGAGACTGGAATGGCCATTTCTGGCTCATTAGCCGTCGTCAGCCAACCATACCCAAGCCCGAAGTGTGAAACACCCGAGCCTCGAACTCGCGACCTGTTGGTTTAGAAGTCCACGTTGCGTGCTTTTTTAATGCAATAAAAAGGGACTTCGTAGGAAGAAACTTCAGAGTGGGATGCGCAGATCCTTGGCGTTCCACGCTCTGTTCACATACCGACTCGCGGTTGCCTCCATCGCAAACCGTTTTCATCTATACCCGCGATGTTAGTGCGAATTTACTTATCAATGAGTAGGTTTATTTATTTTCCCATATTAGGTGCGTAAGCATACGGGTACACAACGCATTAATCAAAAACGTTGTAAATTGGTCTATATTCTTAATTCCGGCTTATATTGCATGGTCCCGCGGGGTTTATATTCGATTTTGTATATTGTTATCTCATGGCCTTTTGAACGGTACTAACTAAGTTAACCAAACCGATCCCACAAAGGTCGCTTTTCCTAAAATGCTATTACGTGCGACAACAAAGTACACCTTGGTAGTGGAATTCCGCTCTGTAAGCTCCAAATCTGATGACCCACCCGCGGGCATATTGGATGTGCACACTGGCTCTGTCAATCTCTCCCTTTGCTGCCATCAACTTCCACAGCAAGGAAGGAAAAGAGAATCATGACTTTTAAGTTTCCTGACCTAAAACGGGAGCAAATGGCGGGAAGTCTTGTCTAATATGCACCACCGGGAAATGCTCAACCACATGGAGTGTGAAATATTAGCACTTTTATACTGTGAATCCCGAAGATCTCAAATTTTACCAAACATCCTGTGCGACCAAAGCCATTGTCTTTATTTTCGTTCGTCACCGCAGGGCTTTTGCATCGCGCGTAGGCAATCATTGCTTTACGACCTTCAAGCATCCGCCACCCGGACCTCTGCGTGGCTGTTCCAAAGACTTCTGTTTTTTATATATAGGACGAAATATGCCCGATAAGAAATAGCAGACTTACCTTTGCATCGGTGAACAAAATAACTGCGCTTCCACACGACGAATTTCAGGGAATATGGAAACTCACACGTTAAAAAATATATTTTTAAAGAGGCAGGCTGGAACTCCGAATTCGCCCCTGGTGCTCGCCTCCGAGTTATTACAAGAACGTACGCCAGCTATGCAAATGCATTGTTTGCTTTCCTCTGACCACTGTGGTGGACCTATTTCCTCCTGGCCTACCACTCTGTTAGGGCTACACAGCAAATCGTATATACTCAGGAGAGTGATCCTGTGATGAGTATGTGGCTCAGAAATTTCCGTTTGTTTATATGAACTGGTCATTCTGAGCACGCCGTGCAAAGCGACCTTCCCGTGTTTCGTTTATTTTTCATTCTTGCAGCCGTGTACAATAGATGTGCTGTCTCATGGGATGTTGACTGATGTTCTGAAATGTGTTTTGAGCGAGGTTTCATCCTGCAACGCACTTGATTGATATCATAAAACTAGCTTCCTAAACAATTTTTGTAGATGCGATTGCGCCAACCTTACATATACCACGTGGTTGCGCCCTCCTTACACATTTAATGCAGCGAGTGTCTGTGGCTCGAGTTGGGGAATCCTTATACGCCATCCTCGGCTACATCAGATATCAGCTCACACGCGCTTCCCTGCGAGTGTTTCGACCTCAGCTTGCGCCCTCCTTATTATCTTAATCCAGCGGGTGGCTAAATAGGATTGTTAATGGCATTGTTCGGGTGGATTAGAACTTTGTCGATTCCACCATAGTGACCATGCACTGCGAATTAACACGCGGCCTTCGAGTTCTGATTGCACCTTCCTCATCATCTTAATCCAGTGAATGACTGTGTCGCGTGGAGTATGTAAACGCCATCTTCGGTTTCACCAAGCATCGGTTCACACGCGCCTCCCCGCGCATGCTTCGAGCTCTGCTTGCGTCTCTTTCCCTTGCCAAATCAGCGAGTGGCTATGACTGTTATGTTGACTAAAAATGTTTTAGTAAGCTAGCCGTATGGCAGCAGTCAAGTGGGGCTCCGCCTGTTTTTAATTCAAAAAGACTGCATAGGTAGGGTTGTTATGCCATTTGTTGTGCATGTTTTCTTTAAAATATGTTTAAATTTATAGGGTCATGGAAGTTAAGTCGAAAATTCATACTACTTAAGTAGTCTTTTATCCTGAGTGGGGTTTTCACAGGCGACCGGAAGGAAACTCGCTCAAAAGCAGGCATCCTGGCGTGACTGGAACATCTTGGGATTATGCTGCACGGCGATTACTGGTGCGATTCTTATTAAGCAATCTTTTCGAATCGAAAATACATTTCAGATTTTCGGTTAGCACTTCATGAGAAAGCGCATCTGTAGTAGTTGAACATTTCCAGAAAGCAGTTTGCTAAAATAAAACAAAAAACTTTGAGACTTGAGACATGTAGTTGCAATATCAGATATCAATAGCACAATGTTCAGTTGACTTATCATTCGACCTACGAACGCACTCGACGCAACGGAGGGACAGAGGTCGTCCGGCTACCTTTGCTACTCACTGCTGTGTCACATTATAATTGCTTTCGTCTTTTGCAATTCTGCAGGTCTGGCCGGGTAGCTGTGTCCACCGCGAGCGTTTCGATTAGCACAGACCACGGCGCCGCCTCGCCTTCCCTTGCATTGGACGGGACCTCCCTCCTGCGTCGCAGTTTCCCGCCCGAGCAGCGAGCCCCCTCACCGGCAGTACAGGTCTCCGAACCCCTACTTCCGCGAATCCCTCGCCTGCCGCCTTTCGCGCGTGCTCGAGTCGCCTACGCGAGTGCTCGCGTGAAGCCCACTGTTAGCACTGACCGGACAATCACGAACGAGGAGGATGCGGGAGCCGAGCCCTCTCGTGATGGCTGTCGCAACGGTAGTCGTGGCAAACTAGGTGACCGCTTCACTGAGACTGTGATCCGCAGGATATCAGAGGCCGCAGAAAACAGCAACGGCAGTAACACCAATGGGAAGGATGGAAAAGCAACCGCCACAGTCACTGTGCGGCGGCCAATGAGGAGCACTCTGGATTACAGAAGACCCATACCCAAACCCAGGTATAGCTAACGTTTGTTTGCGTGCTAATAAGTTGCTCTCTTCCTTGTCTGACCATTTTCGCACCACTTATTCTCCCGTAAGGACTTTTCACACAACCGAATACTTCGCACTCTAATAAGGTTGTTCTGTAGGTCAGTTACGGCAAGAGTGTGGACAATGGGCGATAGGCTGACAATAGGACATGGTTCACAACAGTACTGACTTTAACTTTGTCATCCTTTGAATGAAAAATCCTCTACTAATGGAAGATCATTGCAAATATCTTGTGACCAAACTGGGAAACCAGCCTTTACACGTACAGTGAGTGACCGATCTCATGAAATGTTGACTGAAATTCTGAAATGCGTTTTCGATTAGGAAGGATTACTTGGTTGCAGTTGTAACACTGATTATCTTGCGGCATAATCTTATAACATTTCGGACTTGGCAGGATGTCAGCTTTTGAATGCACTGCTTGTCAATCTCTTGTAAAAACCGTACTCGATAGAAATGACTACTTAAGTAGCATGCATTTTCCCCATTGATTTTCGATGGTCTTGCAAATTCAAATATATTTTATAGAAACCACGATCAAAAATAGTCTTTCTTTCAGTCAGTTAATAGATAATCACCTCTTTATATTTTATACTCAAGGAAGGAGTATAGTTAGGTTCTAAAAAGTTTCTAATTATGAGATTTTTTAAGACCCCGCGATGTCGATTCGCATAGCATCGTACCTCGCCGTCTACCACAGCTCCTCATGAAATGTACAACATAGTCCGTATCCACTGCGAAATTTTATGGACTCTGTATGATATCTTCTTAAAGACGTAGAAGGATATGTTATTTTCTTTACTCGGAAGTCATGCACCTTGTAATCTGAAATCACTAAGCGCTAATGCAATGAATTATCAGGCTCCAAATTACTCCTCAATTTAAAACCTTTTTTGAAACCGGACTATACCCCTTTCTTGAGTATAAAATATAAAGACGTGATTCTCTATTAACTGACTGAAAGAAAGCTTATTTTTGTTCGTGGTTTCTATCAAATATATTTGAATTTGCAAGATCATCGAAAATCAATGGGGAAAATGCATGCTACTTAAGTAGTCACTTTTTACCGAGTTCGGTTTCTACAGGAGATTGAGAAGCAGTGTATTCAAAAGCTGACATCCTGCCAAGTCCTAAATGTTATAAGATTATGCCGCAAGATAATCAGCATTACAACCGCGACCAAGTAATCCTTCCTAATCGAAAACGCATTTCAGCATTTCTGCCAACATTTCATGAGATCGGTCACTCACTGTATTCGCAAATATCGATTAGCAGTAATGAGGTGAGACCACCTGATCCTAGGAACCATGCATACCCTGGATACTGGGCGCACTTTCGCTTGGGACAAAAATGGCAATATTGGCGTCAGCCTTTTTAAGAACGTAGTTCCACAAGGCCCTACACTCGGATGAGTCACGTATCAGTCGGCCTGTGAGTTGGAGGCGGCGTGCAAAAAATGGAATGAACGGCAGTCAAACCAAGCAGAGCATCAGTATACGACGATTGCTTATAAACACAAAATCTACGCAAGCATTGCTCTTTACGTACGTTTATAAAGTTTCCTCCTTGGCACACTCACACTACATCGGACGGAGAGCTAGGGAACTGGCACCAAACATTTGGGGACTAAATATTTCCATCTTTCCCAGCTGACATATATGACTTTAGCATATATTTCAGCCAGCATACAGTCCCTCCTTTGTAGCCTGTTGGTCGTTGACGCCATTCGATGCTTCATAATCGGTGTCGATGATTCACAAGTCCATTGTTTGACAATCTTGACAAATTACTGGTTAAAACAAGGGTGGGTGAAATGGTCGTTTTTGACTCATTACCTACATTCAGACAACCACACCTCAAATCCGGGTATGGGAGACCCTCCACCTAATCCTCAGTTATGTCGGCCATTTAACTTCTCTATCAGTTGAGTCAGGGGCTCATCACGTAAAAGCTCTATCTATCATTAGATGGCTGTTATATGTTTTCTTCTTACAGGTGTCCCTTACTCAAAGGCCAAGTAGTCCCGACAGCTAAGGCGATATAAATAGGTTGGCAGTAGTGAGATGAGCATGCGCATAATCGGCCTCAGTCTCCTTTCCCACGCTTTTCAGGTTGCAAAAGCGAGACCGAGTCAAGTAATCTGTAGAAGACAGTGGGGTTTAGTGGCTGATCAGGGCCCTGTCTCTGTCCTGCACGTGTCAGGCGCGTACCGGCAGATCTATTAGCGAGAACTAAGTAATTTGCTCAATAACTGAAAATTAACTCCCCTTTGGTCTGATGTTGTGGCACCATCCGTTTTGGATGACCTAAATCAAGGGCTACCCGTCACAACTCGATACCGCGGGGATCGTTGCTGTTGCGAACATAAAACTGTATTTGGTTGATTGAGATACAGCTGCGAGCACGGGAAACAACGGCAATGTCGTGTACCATATCTCAAGTCGGGACTCATTCGCACCACATGGCCCAATATTCATGGTTGCATGAGGCGTAATCCATGCATTGCGCGGAATCCCCACATGCTTTAGGCCGTCTGAATCACGCACGGTTACGAATCAGCCGGTGGAGTTATAATGTGCCAGGAAAAAGACTGAGTCAAGCACAGTGCTTCTATCGTTAGTTCGCTCGCGTCTGTCGCCTGCCGCATACGATCTGGCTAATTAGTCGGCACCTACCAAACCTCACCGGTTCACGATGAGTGTTAGTATATGGTCAGATTAAAATAAAGTCGTTGCAAACTGCCTCTTATTCTCTAGGATCGAATTACCCCACCAACTAGTAATATTTCACAGCTAGACTTCTAAGGGTTCGCGTTAATTCACAGACCGAGAGCAAATTGATACGCAGCAAAATGGTCTACAAATGGAGCCAAGAAGATACGTCAACTGCACCGTAAAACATGGTTCCCTACGTATCTCTCCGTCACTCGAGATTTGGTGGGGTAGATAATAAAAAATATATTGCACTCGACTCTGCCTTCTGTCTGCCTGAAGAAACAGGGACTTTAATGTATTCGTTGGTCTAGTCATATTACTTTCAACCTTCGCCAATCCATCTTTTTATATTAGGCTTTTCATCTGTCTTTTATTATATCCTAGTTTCTGCAATATCGCTTAATTGTTTCCGCCATTATTTTTCAACTACTGAGGTTGAAATTTCATAGTTTCCGAGTCTGATCCATGACTGCCTAGGGATGCTTTCCATTGCTAATCCAGGTCTCCTTTTATTTAGACCATTGCCACGACGGATGGTGAACTCCACGGATGGTCCTGTTTTGAGAGCCAATCACTATGAGGCCTCGCAGTGGACAGTGGAGCCCCCGGCACCGCCCCCCAAGAAGGTTGATTTCTCGCCTAGGATCTTTGCGGCACAGGATGAGACATTTCCAAGCAGTCACCCATACTTTCTACGTTCATTTCGAGTGCTGCACAAATCCATGGATGACATACCTAGTTCCTGTCCACATTTGAAACACAGCTCGGCCGTAGCAGTTGGCGGGGGTGATCACTGTATTCACCGATGCCCAACTGAGTCACGGAGCTGGTACCAGGAGCACCGATCCTGTATGCACAACGATACGCGACGGAGCTCCAACCCTCTTGTAGCTGGGCCTCTTCGCAGCACCGTATCGCTTTCCAGACTTCGACCTAGTGTGAGTTTAATTTGCTATGCTTTGAGGTGATTGTTTGTGCACGTTTTTTCTTTAAATCGAAGACCTATGCAGGTGCCATTTTGACCGACGTGCTCGTATATAAAACCAGGTATATTACAGCGGCTCGAGTTGTTACATGTTCATTTATCAATCTTTGCTTTCTGGAAAGCTTTCGTAGACCCAGAGGACAAACACCCCGAAGTTCAAAGATTTCCAGATTCTCTCGACGCCTTATAGAAAGGTGGCTGCGCTATTCTAATTAGAAACAGTTCCGGACTTCCTTTTGTTGGCTATAGCGTATACAACATCATTGATTATTTCGATTTCTTAACATATTTTCTCAAAGCTCTGCTCGTTTCCTGTGACTTTAATCTTTGAATTCAACTCATAATCTTGCCGTATAAAACTGAATGAAGAGGGCTTGTCAGGTTCCATACACCTATAAGTCGGCATTTGCAAAGTGAAGTTATACCAGGAACCACATCTGGCACATCATGATTCCCACCGAGGAACCGAATCCCTCGTATTTTCTCCTGCATCAATCAGAAATTCGTGAAACTCGTCTGAGATCTTGGTCAGTATTCCCGTTAGGTATCTGGCGAAATAATCTGCGCACAATTCCCACTCCGTCAATCGATTAGACTTGGCTATGAGAATTTACTTACGTTTTCGAGGATTTATCTTTCGAACACGAGTTAGCTTACATAATAAATTAATAAAATTATAGTAATGAATCTAACAACTGGCATTGTTAGCGACCTGGCCTAGACAGCTCCTCCTCTTGAGTTTATTCCCCTCGTCATTCTTTGACTTCGTGGCGGAAAACGCATAAAAACCTTTAAATGATGGCGTGGAAGTAGGTGAAGGCTTTCGTTGTCTTTCGCTTCAATTTAAACAACATTTGGAGATATTGTTTGCTAAAGGATATTTTGTTCTAGCAGGTACCATTGACATCTGCTGGCAGCTTATATAAAACTGAGTACCAACGGTTTGCGCCAAGTACAGCTAGACAGAAGTGGGACGTTTATGATAATTGCTGTGGTTCCCCAGCCAAACCTCAATTCTCAGACCGAAAGACCCCAGCAACCGATCGGTTGCTAAGCGAGCTCGAATATGAATTTCAGGCTGCATAAATGTTAAGTCGTGAGAGTTACTTGTGATTTGTTTTTCGTTTTTTGACTTCCCAGACAGGGAGATCCACCGTCTATTTTCAACAAATGTTAAGTGTTGTTGAAATAACAACTGAGATTTGCGATTCTGCTTATGATTTTTATGGTGACGATTCCCCCATCAGCATCCCGACTGAAGCAGAAGTGTCGGTTAAAGACAGGGGACCGAATGTCATACCGCCGAACAGCCGCCTTTCATTAAACTAATGCGTATCTCAACCCATTGGTATGAATGTCTGCCTCGTAAACAGAAGAGCAATTAACGCTTGGGATGCAGTAAAAGATATTCGTCTGTTTCGCGGTAAGGATGGAATGCACTACTCGAGACAGCAGTGTACACAAGAAGGCTACTGGATTATGGACGATTCAGGTGCTAAGCCGATTATTTGTCATGTGGTTGTTTCAGAAATTCGTTACATGTGGTACAGGGATGAGCACTTCAGCGATAACGCTCCCCCATCCGGATCGAGCATTCGTGGTCGCATCTGACATCTGTGACGCCCTAAAAATTTGACTTTGTCCGTTGTCCACAACTTTGACGACGAGCCGGCGAACCAAGTTTAGTCATTTGTTCAATGTTTTTCGTTCCTAAAGACCTTGACGCCTATGATAGTGATGCCACTTTACTTCCAATATATGTACTAACCAAAGGCGTAGGCACCTGTTTCGCTGGTTTCTGCTGCCTCACGGCGCAACTGCGGCGGATTCAGTCGACAGCAGCCCCATCACGAACTACAAATTCTTACGCATTTATCAGTAGATCAAGTGCTTGGAAGCAATTAATTTGTACATCTGGATGGAATTGGCCGCACCCCTACCAATTGTAACTTGCTCTTAAGTCCGAATTCAAGGATAAGGTCTCTCATACTGTGTTAGATATGCCACTTTTGGATGACTGCATCGTCATTCAATGCCATATGCATGGTGTTAAGCAAAGGTTTTGTGTTTTAACGTTGAGTGTCAAGTGATCCGTAAATGCAAAGGAGACGAATTGTAATTATATCAGCTCAGAAACGAATTACTTCGAAATTATGTTTAACCCATCTGTTTGAATACTACATATTTCACAAATGTCTCTTTAGTCGGGTCGTCTGCTCTTGACGTCAGTTCTTCTTCGTTGTATTTTTCAACTACTATTTATCCGCTCGAATATGTGTTTTTATTTCTACCAATCGACAATTTCTGCAGATTAAATATTGCCATTGTTATTGACTAACCGATATTGCTACCGCACTTCGGTCTTTTAAAACTTTTTCATCCTTTTAGAGCACGTCTTTCAATTTTCACTAAAATTGCAAACTTTCCTATCTGTACCCAAATCGTGGAATGTTCAGAGTTCGCGGGCCCATGGTATAGTTTGGACCGCCGTCAACAATGGAAAGTAGTCAAAGCACCTTCTAGTTTCTACCGTTAGCGCCAGTGTAGAGGTTTCCATTCTTCTCCATTCAGATTACAAAAGGCGTTTTATCGATCTCACAAGAAGTATCACTCTTCTGACTATTCTTTGAAAAATAACTTCCGGATTCTTCTCCCCTTTATTTTTCCCGTTTCTTTTGGCAACCTGCGGAATTTCCTATTTTTGTGGTTTATTTTAAGCACGGACTGCTCAAACAGCTATTATTTTCTGTGATATCTCCTAGAATCAGAAATGCGCCTTTTCCCTACTGTTTCCTTTCTTGCTTAATTCTAAGCCTCATAATATTTGCTTGTTCTTGCCCCGTCCTTTTAAGGCTTATTCCGGGGCTTTGTTAAAAGTTTTTGCTCCAAGTCTCTGTCAGAGTATCATGATGAGGAATCTGAAATGCAATCACCTGGTCCTCGCCTATATATTTTTACTTTGCATATACCTTAGAAAATGAGGTGATGCTCCACCTAACTTGTACACCAGTTATTTTCACGTATGGCTAGATCTTAAACGACCCAGACGGTTGTTTTGATGGAAAAACACTACCTACTCAATAAACATCAATAACCATCCTTATTTGAATTATTGTGGGTTTTCGTTGTACCACTGACGGCTATCAGCGAGAAGTTGGCTCACACCAAATCCTGTTTGTACTTCACCATGGCTAAGGCAAGAATTCATCGAACACGCAACTCTTCATTAGTTTGCTCTCAGGTGAACATTCGAAGGGTCGTGGGATGGATCATCTGATCATCTTAGGCACGCGACTTTACTACGCACTCGTCGGTCGAAAACCCAACCTCACCCATACAAACTTTAATGGCAATTGTTGTCAGTTATTTGGTTTAAAGAAAGTCCAGTTATTGTATATGGGTAGGGTTCAAAAAATGGGAAGGGAGACTGTCGAGAAACTGTATCTTGTCATTTATAAACCCCTAGGGATTCGTTCATTTTAGGAAGTGTGCCGGGAAGTCTTATAGAATGTGTAAAACGTGCTAGGGATGTTACCTATAACTGCAGTTCACTTTTTCTTCAAGGACGACTATCACTTGGCCCTGGGTCCAATCTGCGATGCTCTTAACCATACTACGGGATATGTTCTTGAACGACCGTGTGTGCTTTAAGCAAAGATGGGTTCGTTTAAATATGCACGTTTGTACCGGCGTCCTTGACGCCCTAGAAACTGGTTTTCGTTCCCTTTGAATAGGTCCAGATCGTCCTTAAGCTCCAGTACTTACAGGACTGATTTTGCAGAGTTGACTAACATTGTGCCATGAGTAGCGACGATTACCCTAATGGTCATTTTTACAAGCCGGCAGTTTAAGCTCAGTTGAAACCGTTGTGACACAGCAAAGCAAATTCCTACGCCTAGTGGGTCAGAAAACGTACACCTGAAAAATCCCTCAAAAGTCACTTAACAGATGCCAATGTTTTAAGAAAACCCAAAAGTCAGGTGTCCTGACTTAGAAGCTAAAGTACTAACATGAGCTGCCGCGACCCCCGCGCCTGGTCCCAATTAGAAGGAGAAAGCGGCAGATGCTAGCAGGAGGCCGGTGTTCTGTTCTGAAGTACGTAAATGTAGATTTAAAGAGCACTACGACAAAAATACGCCCGCTGGTTGAGCTAGGGGGTGTACGCTAGTGTCCTTGTTTAGGTAGGGAGTAGTGTGCCCCTCAAACGGGTCACGCGGTAGATGCACTGTCCCAACACGGGAGCTAGATGGGAGTTTGGCGGACGTTATCGAGGATGCGCACCTATAACAAATGCCAGCATTCGGATGTGACAGCGAGCGCATGTGTAGGCTCACGTCACGCCCATTGGGCTCCCAGCAGTCTCTCCCTCTGTTGTTGTATAAAATTCTGGTCGGTGTACGTTGTGGACCAGGGCGTGTGGTAGTACGCCTAGGCGTGGGTTTTCGCCGTGCCAGCCACACGCGTCCTCTCCTGTCTCCGGTCTTTTTGACTCTGTTTTGACACCGGACCCAAGTGGGGAGGGAGGTGAGAGTGCGGCAGATGCTGTGCAAGTCTACCATCGCTTCAAAATAACTCGCGCGCAAGTCAGCGCCCCTGTTCTCACTGTGTTATGGTGCACACGATGGACATCGTAAGCAACGACGTTCGAACTGTGCTGGAATCCATTGGTTGACGTAAGTGGTCGTGATTTGTGTGAGCGTTCTGTTACTTCATAAGAGTCTCTCTATTCAAGGTAGCTGAACTGAGATACAGAACCTACGAGCAGAATTCAATTAAGGTCTGACCTTCATCATCCTGCCTTAACTATTCGCAGTCGGTATGCATGACAGCAAATAAAACACCAAAAAGTCTTCAGCAAGAGGACAACCGTCTACCAAGTGGAACAAATGATTACTTTTTCACTTGTATTTATGGTATCCTTTGTATCCTCGGGAAAGTCCACAAACAGGTCAACTTTTGTACCACTGACGTAGTGCCCGGGCATCATCGACATCTTAGTTTACCCTCTAAAAACCCCTTTGCAAATCTGTTAATTGGTCAAGGGTGTTTTTTGTATGTATAAGAGGAACGAAATTTGAAGCATTTTAACCACGGTTATGAGAGCTCACAAAACTGTACAAGTTATGCGGTTTGCAGACTATTTGCAGAACATGTACTGAAGGACAATAACTTTCGGGAAATATCCACCATCAGGCACCCTGAAGTCGAACCGAAAACGGCAGTATACGAGAAGGCCAAAAACGCAACCCAGATCCCCAGCTCTTACAGTAACCATTCATTGTCATCCGAGCAACTGTGGGAGGGCGCTGCGCTGGGGGGGGGGATTCACGTGCAGCGTAGCACTCACGAAGTCATAACAAACTGTCATGTCACCTACTTGTGAACTTTTGGATGAACAGGTACCTTGGTGACTAAAGTGTAGGATTTTTTAAACTTGTTGGTGACAACTGCCAGATGTCGACGACGGCGAAACAAAGTGTATACATTAACTTAAGTCAGAGACGTCTTCCGGACTGTGGAGCACACTGACTTCAGTTGAATGATGTGTGCGACACTGACCTGTGGCCACGATGTATAGCAAATAGTGCTTACTGGAGAAAGGCCAAATCAAGCTTAGCCGGGTGTTATCCAACACCCCACACACAATATCACCCTTCGGGTGAGGGGTGGTAGGTAGTCTCTCCTGTCTGCACAATGTATAGAGCGAAATCATGCTTTTAAATCGTTTGTCATTCCCTTACTCTCATAAGTCAGGATCTTGACAGTGTGAACATTTGACCATTAATCTCCGAACAAGCACACCGAGCTCTTCGAATTTTGCACAATTATGCACAACCAAACTGGAGAAGACAGTTTAGTTTCAATATTTGCAATTGTCGTCAAGTTCGAAGCCCTGGTCGCATAGGCACAAATCTTTTTGAATTAGCTAATTTTACCATTTAACCTGCTTGTTTTTGATTTTCCGAATACCTTGGGAGTGAATTCGAAAACCAGGTCAAAAGCCCAAATAGTAAGAGTTCTCATCTTCGTCTTTACCAGGTGCTCTTAAGAAACTTATCTTCTACTTCACCTGTTGAATTACACAGAGCTCATGCCCTTGGGCTGGGAGTTGAAATAGCTCTAGTGTGATTTTGAAAGCCGTATGATCTTGGTGATCAACAGAACTTTTATCGTGCTTTGCCAGGACACCGAGTTCATTTCAAAAAGTTGTGTCCCGGATATTTGACTCCAAGCCACTCAATTAACGATTTCTGAACGCATGAGACTGGTATTCCTACCTGGAGATCGTGTGGCAGAAACCGTACAAGGAAGAATGGGGAAAGTCTGAAGTGGATTGGCCGTTTCCTGCGGGAAAATCCCTTTGTGGAAAAAGCTTGTGTTCGACCGGCCACCGATTGGGTCGCACGAGCGAGCAACGGTATTACGCGCGCTCGATCCTGCATTACGCGCTGATTGGTCGTTTGCTCTCACGCGTGCATTTCGAAGCCGACTTGATCTGGAGTGCCGTGTCCGCTCCCGTCTTCCTTTCATCTAACGCCACGCCGCCACGCAGCTTCCGCTCCCCATAACACGTGTAGTTCCGTCACTAAACGACACAAACATCGACGAAACGCCAATCTGAGCCTTAGCTAGTATCATTGTCATATGCAGTACTATTTGCCTGTAGATTATTGCATAGGTACATCTACGTCTTAAATGCTCACTGCGGGTTCATCTATTGATAAGGTATAAAAGGGCCTTACAGGAAGGAAGCAACTGTTGGGAGATATTGCCAACTTCCTGAGACAAACTTAATTTCTATCCACAGTGAATGGAGCCCATTTTCAAAATAAAGCGAATACCCCTCTTTCTTTCTTTCTTTCTTTCTTTCTCTCTCTCTCTCTCTCTCTCACTCTCTCTCTCTCTCTCTCTCTCTTTCTCAACAAACGGAACCGGCAATTGTTAAGATCTGTGCCCAAACCTGAAGTACCACTGCACCGATTGTATCGTTAATAGGGGCACCCAATTACAAGACTTTACAATGAGTATTCCACAAAGTCCATCCCTTTCAAAAGTTCAGTCGAAGGTTCCATAGAATTTTGGACAGATTAGAAGGACTCACAATTGCAGCGGATAAGATAGTGGTACCTCTTGATATAGTCCTATATTTTACGCTCGTATCAGCGGATTCTGTCACGCAATGCACGGACGACACGGATTTTCCCGCACCTACTTTGCCTGAAACTTGGACCAACATATGTCTAGAAGTTAGCCTTT